CGAGATACTTCCCGATGCGGGCGAGAAGGCGACTTGCTGCAGTTCCCTCTTGCTGGGCTTAAGGATTGCGACGGGCTTATCGGGGGGCCGCCTTGCCCTCCATGGGCTGCGAACGGGAAGCGCAAGGGCTGCCAAGATGTTCGCAGCCTCGTGTATGATAGGCTCATTGAGTGGATCGTGCATCTTGCATCGCGCGGTCAGTTGCTCTTCTTCGCCCTGGAGAATGCTACAGGTATCTTGTCAGAGTCCTCAGCTGGTCATGGTTCTCAGCGTTACGTCGACTACGTGATCGACTCCTTCAGGAAGCACATCCCTTTCTTCTCCGTGACTTATCACGTGGTGGATACTGCGACGCTGACGCCTCAGAGGCGCAAGCGATGCTGGGTCGTCGGCGTCAGGAAGGATGTTTTAGAGGGCAGCCACTTCCATCTCCGCTACCCATTGAGCGGCTTCCCAAGGTCGACCTCGCGGATCTGCTCAACCCCAGCCTCGCGAACTTGGGGCCATGCGACTTGGACGATCGGCTCCGCCGCAACCTGGCAGACTACATGAGGGTTCTCTTAGAGCAGGTGCAAAACGGGAGGCGGAGCGGAGCCAGGGTCGTCATCTTCGATTTGGAAAGAGGTTTCGGCAAAGGGTGGAAGCCAAACATCGCCCACGACGAAGCGCCCACCTTCACCACCAAGACTACCAAACTGTTCGTGGCGAGCATCACCGACCTGGACCTTGACCCTTTCGATCGGATGTACCGCCGTTTTCTGGCGCCGGAGGAGAGGCTCGCGACGCAGGGCCATGGGCCTGACGTGGCGCGTTTCTTGGGCGAGGCGGCGCTGGTTAAGGCATGCGGGAATGCCTTCCCTGTGCCGATGGTAGGCGCCGTGATCATTCCTGTATTGCAGGCCGTCTGGGACAGCGGGATAGTGACGGAGGGCCATGCCTCGCGCTTGAGCCTGGAGGAGCTGCGAGCTCTTTCGTAACTGCTGATGGCCCGAGCTTCTGATATTATTCGTTAGTGTAGTTGAGGCGGCGCGATTGCGCCAGAGACTCCCGGGGCGCCCCGATCGACTCTGTTTGCCGATTTCGCCTCGTTCTGTTTGGCGGCCGTTCGTTGCGAAACCTTCGCTGTGTGATTCTAGCCTTGGATCGCAGAGACCTCTGTGCCGCCAGTAGGAAATAATAATGGTGCCAAAACACCTTGAGCAACACTTTGAGCAAGCAAGCGAGCTAGATAGATGACTACGGACGAGACGTGAGCGTTGAATGAAAGCGAGAAGCGATACGCGACAGGGTCGAAAACGATTGACAGCAAACGGTGAAGAGAAGGAGGAGGAGAAGGCGGAGGAGGAGGAGGAGGAGGAGGAGGAGCAGGAGGAGGAGCAGGAGGAGCAGGAGGAGGAGGAGGAGGAGGGTGGAGGAGGAGGAGGACACGTCTGGCATGACCACACAGGAACACTAAACCGAAAGACCCTGGCTATCCGTAGACCATTCTGGCTCAAGCCCCGAGTCAGGCGAGTCGGCATCGGACTCGCAATATACGACCGATGGCCACAGCATCCTCGACCGATGCCCCAGCCGCCGCCGCCGCCAGCGCGCATGAGCAGCTTCTCGCGCTGACGTGTATGAAGTGCCAGGAAGCGACTACCATGTCGACGTCTTACCCCTCTGGCGCGCGCAATCCTTTGCGCAGGGTGTGCAATATTTGCAGCTCGACTGACCGGACGGCAGCCGGGCGCACTGCTGAGTACAAAAAGAAGAAGGATGCGAAGAAGCCACTGACTGATGAGGACGTGGACGTGAAGGCGAACATCAACAAAATGACCCCAGACGAGAAGGTGGCCTTCTACCGTGCCGAGAAGGTGGGTGGGTGGCCATGGGCACGAACGCATGCGACAAATAACATTGATCTCTGAAATCCCTGGGCTGTTTTTTGGGGTCCGATGCCAGCGTTTGAACCAGGAGCGGAAGTTGTCGCTGCATTCGCGCCTTCGAATCAGCCATCGCACCCAAAAGGCGAAGCAGGTGGCCAAGGACGGCTCGAGCAATGGGAAGCGCAGCTTCGCAGACGTCAAGGGCTCCGTCGAGCACAGCAAGGTTTAGAGTTTGACGCGAGATGAGCTGGACCTCTTCGAAACGTTCGAAGACTTCGCCCTCAGGCAGATCGGCTTGAAGCGCTGTGAGGATGAGGCAGGTGCGAAACCATTGTGGCTCGAGGCTCTGGCGGACCCTCAGAAACAGAAGATCAAGTTTCGTGGCCAGTGGTTGCTCGGTAAGTTCGGCGGCGTCGCCATGCACAACACGGTATCTGACGAGTTGAGGAACGCCTTGAAGCAGGCTCAGATGATTGACAGCAAGGAGGGCCTCGACGAGTTCCTGACAGAGAGCACGGATCTTCAGGCACGCCGCGAGAAGGGGATCAAGAAGGGCTACATGGTGCAGCCCGACAAGGACCAGCCAGAGGTGAACGACTACGACGTCGAGGGCAGCGCGAAGGTCGACGAGGGGATGATCAGCGACAAGGCTGTCATGAAGACGATCACCGCGCAGATCGCCAAGAAGGCCGAGGACCTAGCCGAGCAGGAGAAGAGCATCATCGAAGCAGCCGCGGCGAAATCAAGGCCATCTGAGCAACCCACGCCTGAGCCATCTCCGAACAAGAAGCCGAAGACTTCTGTCGCGGTGGCCAAGATGGGTCTGGAGTCCGCCATCATCAGCCAGTGCGCCACCATCGAAAGCAAGGTCGAGAATCTCAAGACGAAGTTCTACCAGGAGGCGAGCGAAGAACTTCGAGGCATCCTGGACACGGAGGGGAAGCAGGAGCTGAAGGATATGACAGACGCCTTCGAGGTTAACTTCGGGTCGTACCCGGCGAAGGCCGAGGACAGGAAGACGGAGATCAGGAACGTGCTTGCGAATCTGGACGTCAGCATCGGCGCGGAGGCCATCATGAGCAAGAAATGTGAGATCATCGCCACCGCCAAGATGTTTTGCAAGTCAGAGGGCGCTGAGATCAAGACCCTGGTGACTGAGCTCACTACCATGATCACAGACATGAAGGCTTACGGCAAGAGTGCCCGGAAGGCGACAGAGAACAGGGACAAGGAGGCGACCAAGCACCTGCACAGCAAGAATGCCTTGGTTGATAGCCCTGGGAAGTTCGCATCGCCCCTCACGTCCGCGTTCTGGGCCCACCACCAGTGTGAAGCGAATCAGGCGGCATCGGGCATCGGCATCCACTGGAACATTGAGCAGGATTTCATGAAGAACGGCAGCGCAGTCTTGATCCCGTCCGAGAGGACGACGGAATGCGTCAAGACGATCGTGGAGCTGGCGTACTACAGGTCTCAGAAGGCTTGGGTCAAGGCGGCGATGGCCAAGACTACTCATCACACGAGCGCCGCGTACATCGTCAAGGATTCCGCCAAGAAGACCGTGGAGTCGAGCATCGCATCCATCGTCGATGCCTCGGTGCGCCCCGGGCAGACGCGTGATGGCTGCCCATGGTTGAACGACCTCACGGCGGTGAATTTCTGGCAGCACACGAAGGACTTGCACTCGATCTCCAATACGCCGTATTGCATGCCGCAGGTTCGCTTCGTCTTGGAGGGCGAGGTGGCGCTGGCTGGACTTCCCGTCGACGCCGTGGTTGCAGACGCGCTGGTGGCGAAGCGGACCTCCCTGATGAACATGAGCTTGACCGACTTCTTCAACTTGGTCCAGACGAAAGGCGGCATCGCGGTGAAGCTCAAGCCCGGGTCGATCGCCCTGCTCCCAGGGAATTTCATGATCGTGGAGGTCGCTCTTGGCGGTGCCGAGGTGCACGGCCTGTGCTGGTCGCTGCTCGGCTCAAAGAGCCTGGCTTCCGTGTGCCTGCCGATCTTGGAGCAGTTTCTGAAGGAGAACGTCAGCATGAAGAAGTCGCCGTGCGTGGAGTTGCTGAATCACCTGCAGGAGATCACGGAGGGTGCGCCAGAGGATTGATGAACCGCTGAGCCTCGGTCAGAGTATCTTCGCAGGATTCGTTGAGGTAGAATGGCTTTTCGAAGGGTGCGACATTGTCTTTACACTTTCGAATGTCGCGATTGCCTTCTGCCCTCTTTTGGCATTGGCACGCCCGCGCTGGGGGCATTTGGGCCCGCTCTGAGGAGGAGGGGAAGGAGGAAGAAGACGAACGGTGAGGAGGGAGACGAAGAGAAGGCAGAGGAGGAGGATAAGAAGGCTGATGATGAATGGGCCTACCCCTGGCGAGGTCGTGCCAGCATAACCCTTCGGCTTACAGTAAGACTGTCGGCGGGACGTAGAGTTTCGCAAAACGAAGTGGCTCGAGTGGAAGCCAGCAGCTCAACTCACCACGGCTTGGAAAACATAAAATGACCGATCACATTTGGGACTCTTTGGGCCGCAACAGTGTGGAACACCACGGCACGAGATAGAGTGAACAATCACATGCACGATCGGACGAACATAACACATGTGCCTACACCATTGCGTAGCATGAAGCATACAAGCGGTACGAGCATAGAAATGCATAACATCATTCCTCGTGCTCTTATCCGTGATCTGATTTTTAGGCGGAAGAAGACATCCATGGAAACGACCACCCGAAAGGTGTTGAGAGGGGCCCCGGGGGACGAAACCGAAGTCGACAGGATCGAGAGAGGAGGCAAGAGGATCTTCAACAACAAGAGGGGAGGAAGGAGGAACAGATGAGGATTTTGTGCCTCGGCGATGCTACACTAGGACTTGTTCGTGTCGGCTCAAGTCTTAGACGACCTCCTGGTCTGGACGTAAAGCATATGCGCGATAGGTCGCGCTCACAAAGTACTTCCATGGTAGCGGAGATACCATTCGAGTGCCTCAGTCGACCGCTATATGCGTCTGTCTGGGTTTTCATGGTAGCGGAGATGGCCTTGAACACAAGCCAGAAACCGAAGTTGGTAAAACAAGAAATCCAGCCCTCTTGGGCATCAGAAAAAACGGTTTGTCTCCTGAAAAAAGGCTCTATGGTCGGGGGTGCGCCTATCAATTGAAGTCATACCCTCGAGGTGGTCAAGGCGGAGGTGTCTGCGAGCCCCCGCAACGTCCTGGCTTCCTTCGAGAACGCGGGTGAGGGGAAGGCAGTCGCGGTCACCTGCAAGGAGATGGTCGATGCAATGTCCAGCGCCCCTGGCTACGACACGCTCGAGAAGTGGATGCAGCGCAAGGTGAAGGACTCTTTGGCAGAGCCCGCGCACGGGAGCGTGACTTCGCCTGCCATCACGGCCGCGATGCGACACCACTGCGGCTTGCTCCGCCCAGATGGGCCCCTCTTCCGCCAGCTCTTCCTCCCCGAGACGCCGAAGGAACAGGGCCTCCAGAAGTCCGTTTACGGCGTCCAGCTCTTCGTGGCACTTGCCGTCCACATCGCGTGCAGCCCCGCCCCGTTCGGAGTCTCCGAGTGCCGCGTCGTCATCGAGGGCTCGGAGCTGATCATCGCGGTTCGCGCCTCCGCGACCGTGGGCCTGGTCGAGCAGATGAACAGCCTGAAGGAGATGAGCGCGCAGGAGCTGCTCTCCGAGGTTGCGAAGGAACCAACGACGACGACGACGAAGACGACGACCTCGTCCGACGGCGGCGTAAACGACGACGACTACAAGTACGATAACGACGACGACGGCTACGACCGCGACCGCGACTACGACGCATGCGATTACGATAACGACGACGACGACGTGCGCTGGCCACACCGTCGCCTCCTCCTCCTCCTCCTCCTCCTCCCTTCCTCACTTCCTCCCTTCCTCCCTTCCTCCCTTCCTCCCTTCCCCCCTTCCTCCCTTCCTCCCTTCCTCCCTTCCTCCCTTCCTTCCTCCCTGCCTCCCGTTCCTCCCTTTCTCACTTCCTCACTTCCCCCCTTCCTCCCTTCCTCACTTCCTCACGTCCTCCCGTCCTCCTTCCCCCCCTTCCTCCCTTCCTCGCTTCCGCGCTTCCTCCCTTCCTCTCTTCCCCCCTTCCTCCCTTCTTCCCTGCCGCGGGGGGCGGGGGGGGGGCCGGCGCCTGCTAGGGCGGCAACTTTGCGGTGGAGCTGAAGTCGAACATGATGGCCATGCTACCTGCGGGCTACCAGTTCCTAATCTACCACAAGGACGTCTCGCGTGGATACCGCTGGGGGCTCTCTCCCGAGGGGGACACCCAGCGGACGCAGGTCATGGTCGCGTCCGTGCTGGAGGCGCATGACGCCCTGAAAGGCACGGCGCACGACGACTGGGCCAAGACATTGGGGGCCAAGTTCGCTTGAGTCTATGATTCGGGGCCTCGTTGGCTCGTTGGGGCAGGGCCCCCAGGTGCGTGCTCGGACTCCTCGGGCAGGGGCGGGAGGAGGGAGGCAGGAGGTGGGAGATGGTCGCTAGGTCTGCAGCAGTTCAGTCAGCATTGTCCTGTTGCTTCCCCACCTGCGCGCGCTGATGCCCAGACGGTGGTGCCACGTGAATCCGAGTTCGAATGGGGTCATCGTGAATGCGAATTGAATTTCAGTGCTTGCATCATGCTTCGTAATGTTTAGGTCGTCTCCCCGTGCCCCGTGCCCTCGGATATCTGGCCAGCGCCTCAGTGGCCCGGGAGCTCGGGCACATGTTTGCGACATTCTGTCCACGGGACTTCCGTGTCTGGTTCAGCTTGAGGCTGCACAGGGCGCAGTGGTGATACATTAGCCTTTGCTTCAGCTCCGCGTGTTGCGTCAAACGCAGCGCCACGTTCGACGTTACTATCGCCCACTTCCTTTAGCCGGAAAAACGCCATGGGCCTCCTTTCCTAGTAATCAGGGGCTTCAGTGTGAAGGCTTCGCTCTCGCAGGGCCCCCCCCCTCCCAAACAGCGAACGCTCGGCCATTGACGTTTGCGCGTCGAACCCCCGACCTGTCCTGGAGCGAGTTCTGGCCGACAGAATTTCAAATCGGATCCAGCCGCGAGGGCGCCCCCATAAGCCACACAATTGCATGAAACAACACTGCGCCACTTCGATATTCGATCCTCGACCCTCGACCCTCGATCCTCGATCCTCGACCCTCGACCCTCGATCCTCGATCCTCGATCCTCGACCCTCGATCCTAGACTTCGTCCTCCCCGTCGTCGTCGTCGTCGTCGTCGTCGTCGTCGTTGGCGTCGTCGTCGTCTTCGTCGCCGTCGTCGTCGTCTTCGTCCGCGTCGTCAGCGTCGTCAATGTCGTCGTCATCGTCGTCGTTGGCGTCGTCGTTGTTCGTCGGCCTCCCTCCTCTGCCTCAGCCTCCTTTGCATCCTCGCCTCCCCGCTTGCCCAGGGCATCGGGGACGTGCTCGGGATCGCGATCGACGCGGACGACGTCGCTTGGATGCCGAACGGCGAGCAGTTCGTCGCGACCACGGGCATGGTCTGCGGCTTTCCTTGCCCTCCATGGTCTCTGTTGGGCTCGGGGAGGGGCATGGGTGACTGGCGTGCGAAGGTCGACGGGGGTGGGTAAGACGGTGAGACACCTGCTACCTGCTCTACCTGCCCATGCCCTCCCCTCTGATTCGCTTGCATCGTGCTGGCTTCGTTGCCAGGTGTGCCGTAAGATGCTGGAGGTTCTTGAGTGGCTCTACCGTAATGGCTTGATGTGGTTCTGTCTCGAGAACGTTGCCGGCATAGCATACAAGCGGAAGGAGGCCCCCCCAAATGTAGAGGCCGAATTGATGCCGTGGTTCAAAGCCCACATGCCGGACCGCCTCCCGCCCGCCCCCCCACTCCCCCCGCCCGCTTTCCCCCTCCCCCTCGTCTCCCCGCCTCCCGCTCGCCCTCCCCTGGCCCCCGCCCCCTTTCCATATTCTCCGTCTCATCCGTCTCCTCCTCCCTCCTCCCCCCGCCGCCCCCTTCCCCTCCCTCCGTGTCCTCCACCCCCTGCCCCCTGCCTCCGCTCGCGCCTCGATGCCGCAGGACTTCCGCGTCTCCCGGCACAAGGTGGACTCCACGGAGAGCGGCCTCCCGGCCAAGCGGCAGAGAATCTACATCATCGGGATGAGCAAGCATCTGCTACTCGGCGCTGGCTGCGGCTTCCCTGCCCCCTTGCCTCCCATGGCCCCTGTGAAGCTTTCTGAGTTCCTCGACGCCGAGGGCCCCTCCGAGTCGCCGCTCCCCGCTGCTCCTGGCGCCCGCCTGAACGTGGAGGCCGGGCGTGGAAGTGAGGAATGAGCACGGGGTCGTGGGGGGGCGCGGGCTGGGGGGGAGGTGGCGTGGGACCCTTAGAGGGCGGGGTGGGAGGAGCAGGAGGAGTGAAAGGACGAGGCAGGGGGTCAGGGAGAAAGTAAGGGAGGAGTGACGGGGGGAATAGGACGGGCAGTAAGAGGGGTGGCCTGGAATTGCGCGAGCCACGACGCTGAGGTGCACTTGACGAGCTCTCTGCGCGAACCATTGGGGCGCAACCTATGTTCGTATTGGCATGCCAACGTCCCTGATGGACAGGGGAGGTGAGAGCAGAGGGGTGGACGGGATGAGGGGGGGAGGAAGAGGGGAGGAGGAGGAGGGGGAGGAGGAGGAGGAGGAGGAGGAGGAGGAGGAGGAGGAGGAGGAGGAGGGGGGGGGGGAGGAGGATGAGGGGGCAGGAAGTGCCGTCGCTCCTGAGCAGAATATGTAGCACCCGCAATTGCGGATAAGAGGGCCTCCAAGTTCAGCAGGCACGCCGCCTGGCGGCGGCCAGGGTGACGCGGCGCCGGGCAAGGGGCAGGGGGGTGCGGTAGAGGCGGGAGGAAGGCTGAGGAGGACGAGGAGGAGGAGGAGAGTCCACATCTTACCCTTGCCCCTTGCCTTCCTCGTGGCCCTCCCCATCCTGTCACTACCCCTGCCCACCAGCCCCTGCCTTTCTCGCCTATCTCAACCGCCCTCTCCCGACCTGCCCCCTATCCCTCTGCGCCCTTCCCCCTCCCGCAAAAGGTGTACAACAAGCTGTACCTCGACATGCAGAAGGCTCGGGGCGAGGCCGCGGGCGCCGTGGCCGTTTGCGATTTGACGCGAGATCCTACCAAAGTGTTCGGGAGGTTTTTGTATCCAGAGTCCTGCGGGGCCCTCACCACTAAGAACACCTACTTGTGGGTCGTGGGCCGTTTAGATGGCAAAGTGGAGGGCCATGGGCGTTGGCTCAGGCTATCCGAGCGGTGCAGGATCATGGGCCTAGCTCCTGAGAGCCTCGTGGGGGTGATCACTGATAAGGCCTTGATGAAAGCCGTGGGGAACACCATGGCGGTCGGCACGGTGGGCAGGGCGTTGACCCCAATCATGCGGGTATGCAAGAGGTGCGAAGTGAACCAGGGGGGCCTCCCAGTCATGCTGCCCCAGGGGTTCCAAGTGAGCGAGGGCCCGTCGACCAGGTTCGACGTGAGCGATGTCCAGCCGACCGCGAAGAGGGCCCGCACGAGCACCGACTGCCGCGATCACTGCGTTTGCGGTAGGTGCCCGCTATCCACTCCTGGCCATCCGAAGCCGAAGCAGTCTAGGATTCAGAACTTCTTTCAGCCCCCGAGGGCCTAGGCCCGCGGTTTACAGTGCGCGGGCAGGCCGCCGACGTGCGCCCCGCTCCAACCCTGCCCCGCCTTCGTGCTCTTATGAATGATGAACCCATTCTCATTGCACATCAGTCCCATCCGCCCTCCTCTCCTACTCGGGGTAGCTGGACTGATAGATAATTCGGTTTGGCAGCGGGGCTGCCCGACCTCCCACAACGAGCATTATAGGCCCCCTTCCCGTCCGCTGCTTGCTCGGCGGCCGAGAGCGGGGCTGCGCCGCTCCATGGCGACGGGGCCAAGCGAGGCGCCGCGGCGGCTGGGCCCGGCCACCCTGGACGCCTGGGCGAGACGCACTCGGGCCCAGCGCGGAGAGCATGAGGAAGGGAAAAGGGGGCGCCCGTGCCCCTCCGAGGCTGCCCGCAGATGAGAAGGAGGAGGGGTGCGAGGAGGAGCGCGACAGCGCGACGAGGATGACGCCGAAGAGTGCGACGAGAACGAGGAGGAGTACGAGGAGGAGTACGACGAGGAGTGCGACGAGGAGTACGACGAAGAGCACGACGAGGAGCACGAAATACGAGGAGGAGTGCGACGAGGAGTACGACGAGGAGGAGTGCGCGGAACCCTGCTGCTGCGACTCGGAGCGATGCTGGCGGCGACCATGTCCTCCGCAATCCGCTCGGGGCGGATCCGCGGACCCCTCCCGGGGTCCAAGCGCACAAGTTTTTCGCACTGCGCCCGGCCGTGGCGAGGGGGCCCCCACGGGGCCGCCCTCAGGGTGCCCCGATAAGAAGCCCCACTACGACGACGACGACGACGGCGGCGACGACGGCGACGGCGACGACGTCGGCGACGTCGACCGTCGACGCCGCTGTCCGCAGTCGGGTTGGCTGGGGATGCCGCTCAGTGCGGCGGCGAAGGAGAGGGGGAAGGAGAGGAGGCGCGAGGAGGGCGAGAGACACAACCTGTGGGAAAACGACGTGGACGCGGCAGAGCCGCGCACAGGACTTACCTCTTACCTCCTCCGTCCTCCTCCTTCCCCGGTCCCCTCTTCCTTCCTCCTCCTCGCACTCCTTTTCCCTACTCCTCATCCCCCTCCCCCCTCTTCCCCCCTCCTCCTCTCGCCCTCGTCTCGCGCCCCCCCTCCACCTCCCAGGACCTGGTGGTGTGGATGCGTAGGCCTGGGAGGAGAGTCACCGCGAGGTCTCGGCATCTCGCGAGGAAGGCGGAGAGGGCAGAGATGATTCGCAGCGCGGGGCTGAAATGCACGGAGACAAGCGGCAAGGCAACGTGCGAGGGCGATGAGGGCCAGGAGGGGGTGGGGGGGAGGGGGGGAAGGGCAAGGACAAGGGCAACATCGCCTGGGAGTAGGGGCCCCACTCCGCGCGGGCTCGGCGACGACGGTTCAGTTGCTGGTTGCAGCGAGCGAAAGCACGCATATTCCTTTACCCTCGCATCCTTGCCTCTTTCCCGTTTCCCGTCTCCGTCCGTAGCCGTTTTGGCTCAAGTTTCGGTTTGGATTAGCTTATCCGTTGCGTCGCCATGTCTGGTGACGCCCCGTGGGGGCGCCCAGAAGCTCTCGCTGATCATCTCGTGGGCGGCAGCCCGTTCCGCCAGCGACGGGTCGGTTTCTTGGACATCATGGCTGAGCTGGGCGCCGACGTCTACCCAGCGCGCCCTCGCGCCGTCGATGTTGAATGCCACGGGCGCGCCGTCGATGCTCCGCGCCGCGATTATGCCGCCCATGTTGCCCCAGAGCCTGTTGAGGCTGCATGCCGCGGACGCGCCATCGATGCTGCAAGCCACGAGTGTGCCGCCGATGGTGTCGCCGAGCCTGTCGATGCTGCAAGCCGCGGACGTGCCGTCGGTGCTGATGGCCACGATTGTGCCGTTGATCCTGGCGCCGTTGAGCTCGTCAGCGCTGCAAGCCGTGGACGCGCCGTCGGCGCTGGCAGCCGCGATTGCGCCGTTGCCCCTGGTGTCGCTGAGCCCGAGGGCGCTGCAAGGCATGGGCTTGCCGTCGACGCTGCTCTCGCCGAGCCCGTCGACGCCGACAGCCGCGGTCGCGCGAGGTCAGCGACGGGTTCAGCCAGCGGCGCTATCTGCAGGTCATCTGCTCTGGCGGCTGGCGGGAGGAACAGGAGCAGGAGTCGCAGGCGCAAGAGAGGAGCAGGAGTCGGCGATGCGAGCCCCGCGAGGCATGTAGCCCCGCAGGCAGTGCCGTCGCTGGCGGTGGGATCACCTGCGAATCCAGTGCCAGCGCGGACGGTGCGATCACTCGCCGATTCAGTGCCAACGCTGGCGGTGCCTGTCGCCTCCCAGTCCTCCCAGAGGCCACGCCGGCCTTGGCTGGCAGCAGGGATGCTTGGCCGCCGAGTTGATGATGGCGACGGCAGTGGTTCAGACAGCCCCAGTGGTGGCCCCGACCGTCTCGCCCTGGAGTGGGAATCGGCGCTGGAGGATGCGTTGGATGTGATGCGCCGTTCTGCTGAGAAATACCGTGAGATTTCAATATATGGCGGATCCCCGCTCTTGAGCGACCTCCTCGTTAATATATCGCGGGCTGAGCTGCAGCGGCGCGTCGGCGCCGCAGTTCGCCGCGCCGCTTCTGGGCCAGGAGGGCGGGCGTACATCGGTTCCACTTCCTGCCCGATGTGGCGTTGGGAGGGGGGGATCTACTGGGGCGAATCCAGCGACGTCTCCGCGCCGGCCACGACCCCCAAGCACATGCCAGGCCACCGACTCCAATGGGGTCGGATGCTCGTGTTGGGGTCGTGGCCGGATGCGGAGACGAAGGAGCTGGAGCCTGTCGCCATCTCTGCTGGGCGCCACGCTGCAGAGGATTTGGGCGATGAGGATCGGGGGGGGGACGAGCGACACCACCGCCAAGAGGGCCCCCCCCCTCCAGCGAGGAGGTCCACGATGCTTCCCCATGGTGGACCGCGCCGCCAGATGTACCCCCCCCCGGCTTCTCGCCCTGGCGGCGGTGTCAACGGCACCGTAACGGGTACTTACTAACGGGTACTTTGAATTTTTGCCGAAAGTTGCCACTTTAGGGCCTTTGCATTGCAGCTTTGCCGAAAGTTGCCACTTTGAATTTTCTTGCATTGCAGCTTTGCCCACATCGGGAAGGGTTGGGTTCGCTGGGTCACTGGCCAAAGTACCCGTTAGTGGAGTCCCCGTTTGAGGGGCGCTGACGGCGGCGTGGTGGTGTAACTTCTCCTCGCCCCTTACATATAATTGCGAATAAGGCAGATGACGCCCGCGGCTTCCATGTCAGGGCCACGCCCGCGTATGCATTCCTCTATGTATGTTCTGGACTGCCACAGAGATCACATGCCTCCTCCTGCTCCTGCTGCTGCTCCTCCCTGCTCCTCCTCCTTCCTGCGTGCCCGCTGCTCCGCTGCTCCTCCCACCTCCTGCTCCTGCTGCTGCTCCTCCCTGCTGCTCCCCCCTCCTGCGGGCCCAGCCCGTGCTCTGATGCTGCCTCTGAGGCACTTCGTCCCCGTATGCGGGGCTTAGCGACGCAGAGCGGCAGAGCAAGCATCAGCAAGCAGGCAAGCACGAACGAATTGGAAGAACGCAACGAGGAGGGTGGGTGCAAGTGAGGGGAAAACACGAGTGGGAACGCAGGAACGTCGACCACGAAGCAACGGAGGGAAACATATGGGAAAAGGGGACCGGGCAACGTTGCATTTCACTACCCCACCCCCCCGTATCGGATTCGTTGTTTTTGCAAAGTCGTTTCAATTTTGCGTGAGCCCGTGCTGTGTGCATTGTTACGAGCGCCGCATGTTCCTTGGGGCGCTATCATTTGTTATTTTTTTCGTTTAGGGCGCGGTCGAGACGCGAAAACTGTTGCGTTGGCGGCTGCGGGTTGCCCGTCGGAACGTGTATCCTCGCTCAAGTGAATGTCGCTTATGTGTGTCAATTTCTGTTCTGCGCGCGAAGATTTGGCCGATTGGTTGGATTTCGCCATTCTTCGGTGGGCGAGTAGTTGTTTTTCGCAGGCGTGTTTTGCCGTGGTTCCCGAGCGCAGGGGGCGTTTTCAGCTTCGGCCGATCGGTTTTCCCAGTTGGCGAAAAGTTTACCCTGCCCCCGCGCCGTGAAAGTCGAACAGGAAACCAGCGTGGGCCAAAATGCGGCACGCATCACAAGTTCAGATCCCTTTGAACATCGATTTCACAGTGGTTCAGAGCCCTTGAACCACCCTGACGGGCCCTTCACCCCCGCTTAACAGGCCCTTAACAGGTCGTTGAAGCGTGAATTTTGCTTGGATCGCCAGGAAGTGTTTGGCGGGAGCGCGACTCCCAATTAAATCGTGAGGAGGTCCAAAGCGAGAGCGCGATTCCTGTGTGTGTAGGAGCGGCATCCGACTAATTTGCGAGTGGGTATAAGGCGGGAGGCGCTGTTGTTGTCTCTCGGGAGCCGGGGGCGCAGTTCGAGGCTGAAGACTTTCCCTGATCGAAAACGGGTGGGAACCCGCACTTCAATTGAAACACACCATGTGTACCAGGCAGGGGGATCAACCCTCCTCCTCCTCCTCCTCCTCCTCCTCCTCCTCCTCCTCCTCCTCCTCCTCCTCCTCCTCCTCCTGCCCCCTATCCAACTCATGGTGGTGGTGGAACCTCATGTCCTCGGACATGAGGTTCCAGCAACAACACGAAGACGAACACTATCAACAACAACAACAACAACAACAACAAGAGCACAATCGACAACAACAACAACAACACCAACAGTCATGTTACTACTGTTCATTCTTATCTGCTCGCGTGTCACTCGGCACGTATATCCTAAACCCTCGGTGCCCGCCCTCTTCGTTTTCGATCCCACACTGTTGGGAGCACATCTTCTTTACCTGCTATGTGTATGTCGGGTTACGGGGCCGAATCCCCCCTTACGTTTTTGAAGTTTTGGGCTTGCTGTTCGGTTTCGTGTTTTTTTGGTGGTTGGGGCGTTCGTTTTTTTTTTGGGGGGGGGAGGTGGGGGAAGGGGGGGGGGTCTGTTTTGATCGTTTCCGCTTCCGTTTGCGTCGCGGCCCACGTGCGTTGCGTTTCCGTTTGCGTCGCGCACCCCGCAGAGTCGTGACCAAAGGGGAATGGTTTGCATTTTGGGGGGGGAACAACAAAAACAAATCATCATTCTTATGTTTTTTGTGTTTTCCCTTCCCCCTTCCCCTCTCCCACCCTCCCCCCTCAACCTCCCATCCTCCCCTTCCCCCCTCCCCTCCTGCCCCCCCTTCTCCCTCCCGTCCCCCCCGCCCCTTGCAATCGCATCGCATAGACGTCGGATTGAACTATGAGGAAGTCGTGCTGCACTGTTGTAGCAGCGGCACTGTAGAAGCAGTACTCTAGTACAGTATTCGTATGAGTGGTTCTCTATTTTTGTTGGCAGCGAGTGTAGTCTTGCACTGTCGTAGGAATATTCCAACGCTGTAGTAGGCTGGGCGCGATTCTTGAATAAATCGCAAGCGAGTCTCCAGCGAGAGCGCGACTCCAGAGCGCCGGGAGAGCGATTCCTTGATAAATGGTACGGAAGTCCCAAAAGAGAGCGCAATTCCGGAGTCAAATGCGAGGAAGTTTCATGCTGGAGCGGAGGTCCTGATTGAATTGTGAGGAAGTCTCAGGCGGGAATTGTTGAACTCCCAATTTTGAAAAATAATTTGATCCCCACCCACCGGTGCATATTGTTTTTTCTCAATCAAAGTGTGTCCCTCGAGGCTCGCGCCTTGTTTTTGGACAGGGAATGTCTTGATGCTCAAACTGTGCCCCTGGCCCCCCGGTCACAACAACAACGGCTCCCGCCTGAGACTTCCTCACAATTTATCCAGGACCCCCGCTCCCGCCCGAGACTTCCGCGCATTTTATTGAGGAATCGCGCTCTCGCTTGGGATGTCTTTAAAATTGATTCTGGAATCGTTCTCCCAGCGCTCTGGAGTCGCGCTTTCGCTGGAGACTTGCTTGCAATTTACTTAGGAATATGGCCCTTGCGTTGGAATCTTTCGCAATTTACTCAAGCGCCGCGCTCCCGACACCCAGGCACCCAGGAGTCGCGATCACGCCCAGGTCTCCCTCACAGATTACCTAGGAACCGGGATCTCGCTACCCGTCGTGGCCTTTTGCAGCCTTGGTGGCCCCCACGCTGCCCTTCGTGGCCCCGTTGCAGCCCTTCGTGGCCCCCTCGCTGCCCTTCGTGGCTCCGTTACAGCCCTTCGTGGCCCCCTTGCTGCCACTCGTGGCCCCGTTGCAGCCCTTCGTGGCCCCCTCGCGTTGTTTCGTGGCCCCATTGCAGCCCTTCGTGGCCCCGTTGCAGCCCTTCGTGGCCCCTTCGCTGCCCTTCGTGGCCCCCTCGCTCCTTTTCGTGGCCCCTGTGCAGCCCTTCGTGGCCCCCTCGTTGCCCTTCGTGGCCCCATATATGTATGCCCTTCGTGGACCCCGCTCGTTCGCGCCCGTGATGGCCCTATATGCATGCCCTTCGTGGCCCCGCTGTCGCCCTTCGTGGCCCCCTCGCTGCCCTTCGTGGCCCCGTTGCTTGCCCTCCGCGGCGTGGCCCCCGCTCCTTCGCGCCCGTTGTGGCCCCATGTGCATGCCCTTCGTGGCCCCGCTGTCGCCGTTTGTGGTCCCCTCACTGTCCTACGTGGCCCAGTTGCTCTCTCAGTGGCCCCATCGTTGCCTTCTGTGGCCCCGCATTATCTGCCCTTCGTGGCCCCCGCTCGTTAGCGCTCTTCGTGGCCCCATACGCATTCCCTTAGTGTCCCCGCTGTCGCCGTGTGGCCTACTTCGTGTCCTTCGTGGCCCTGCGTTCGTTCTCTCTCGCTCTCGCTTTCGCTCGTCGTCGTCGCCGTCGTCGTCGCCGTCGTCGTCGACGTCGTCGTCGTCGTCGTGGTCGGTCCCCTGTCCGTCCCTCTTGGGGTCGGGTCGACGGTCCGCGGCCGCCCCGCCGATCATTGCTGCCGCTGGCCAGGCCGACGGTTCGCGGCCGCCCCGCCGCTTGCCGGGGCCCGCCCTGCAGGGAAGAAACGTATACCCCCCAAAAGGGGTTCGATCGAAGACGAAGAGGGCGGGTATTGAGGGTTTGGGAGATACGCGTTATTGGACACTCGAGCAGATAAGGGCGAACAGTCTTAAACTGATTGTTGTTGTTGTAAACCCGGGGCCACGGGCACAGTTTGACCCTTGTGACTGTCCTTGGTTTTCGTGTATATAAGAAAAGAAGGATGCGAGTCCCGGGGGGGACACTTTAATTGAAAAACGCATTGGCCACCGGAAGAAGGGAATCAACAGCAATTATTCTTCACCCGTGGGGATACACGCGGCAAAACCAGACGGGCAGATCGGGCGGGTAGACCCGAACAGGCGGGTCGGGAATGCGGGCCTAGGCGGGTTGCCGAAGCGTGCGTCTTTCATGAATCGCGAGCAAGTCTCGTGCGACAGCGCGATTCCCAACTACATCGTGGGGAAGTCCACAGCGAGAGCATGATTCCAACATGTCGAAGGCGCGGCGTCTGCAGAACTTTCGAGGAAGTCTCATGCAAGAGCACGGTTTCTGGATACATTGTGAGGAAGTGCCGCGCGAGAGCGCGATTTGGGAACACATAGTGAGGAGGTATCAGGTGGGAGCCGCTGTTGTTGCAAAGCGGGGGCCGACAATACATATTGGTGGCATCTGTTTTCCCGTATAACAAACAGGGTGCGAACCTGGGGGAAGCGTTTCAATTGACAAACAAAACAACAACATCATCATCACCATCATCAACAACAACAGAAGTAGTAACAATAACGCGCATTTTTAGATTGCTCGTTTTCACCTGTTCGCGCGCCACTCAACACAGATGAGTATCCCAAACCCTCTATACCCGCTCTTTTCGTCTTCGATCGTACCCCCCTGGGAGTAGATTTGTCTTACCTGCAACTTGTATGTCGTGCAACGAGAGCACAGAGGGGTGGGAGTATACCTTTCTTATTTCCCCTAAGCCAGGAAAAGAGAATTGTACCCCTTTGGGAATCTAACTTGTTCACCTCCCCTAAGGCAGGATATGGGAGGATGTATGCAAGGAAGGGACAGGGGGGAGGGAGGAGGATGGAGCACGAATAAGCGTAACAGTGGGGGGGCTGGGAACAAAAACACGTGGCAAAACCAGACGGGCACATCTGGCGGGTAGACCCGAACAGGCGGGTCGGGAAGGCGGGCCCAGGCGGCCAAGTCGAGCAAGTGGGTTGCTGAAACGTGCGTTCCCACATGAATCGCGAGTTTCGAGCGACAGCGCGATTCCAAAATACATCGTGAGGAAGGTCAAAGCGAGAGCGTGATTCCTGGATGTCGAGGGCGCGGCGTCTGCATGCATTGCGAGGAAGTCCCACGCGCGAACGTAATGTCTGCATACATGTTGAGGGCATCCTGCGCGAGAGCGCGATTTGGGAAATACGAATGCAGGCGGGAACCGTCATTGTTGTGACTCGTGGGCCAAGGGCACAATTCTGAGACTCAAGACCTTCCCTGATGTACAACAGGGTACGAATCCTGGTGATGGCACTTCAACTGAAAAATACATGGCCCCGGATGGGGGATCAACAATATTTGTTGTTCAGTAGTGACAACATTAACAACAACCACAACCACAACGACAACCACAACCACAGCGACAACCACAATCACAATCACAGTCACAACCACAACCACAACACTAACCACAACCACAACCACAACTTCAATTACAACCGCAACCGCAACCACAACCACAACCACAACAACTGCAACAACAACAGCAACAACACCAGCACCAACAACAACAACAACAATAATCCGCACCGCGGGAGCCCACTTCAGCCACGCACCCAGGGACAGTGAATGGCTCGGCGCCTTCAGTTCTACATATATATGTATATATATATATATATATATATATATATATATATAAGGTTTCTGCCCATCCCGCCACCGCGCCTTGGTTGTGAACCAAAGGCCTCTTGAATGCTTCTCGGGGCCTCCCACCGGTCTCCTCCTCCTCGCCTTCCTCCCCGCCTCCCTTGTGGGGAGACCGGGAGGACCGCGCGCACGGAAGGCAGGCGGAGGAGGGAGGAGGAGAACGGAGGAGCACTGCCCCCTCTCTTCTCTGCCCGCCCTCCCTCCTAACCCCGCCGCCTTCCCCCCCCTCCTGCCCCTCCCCCCCCCTTTTGATCTCGCCCCCCCCCTCCCCATCCTCTGGGTGGGCAGGGGCTCCTAGTCTGGCTCTCCTGGGGCGTCGCCGGCCTCCTCGCCAGGTGCCGCCTCCAGCGGCGGCGGCGGCGGCGCTCTGTTCGGCGCCGGCACGGGTGCCCCCCCCCCCCCGCGACGAGGCCGCCGTCGTCGCAGGACGGGGAGGGGGGGCGGAGGGAGGGGAAACCGCCATCACAATGAGTGACTAAACCACGACACCGCCTGAACACGATGAGCACCGAGGCCAGGAGGCCCACCCGTGGGGCACGCCTGAGAAGCTGGAGGAACACGAACAAATTCGTGATACCGCCCAATGGGTCCCTCCATTCAGATGTTCACTCCTGGGGAGAGGAAGGATGGGGAGGGACGGGGGGAAAGCGGGAGGGAGAGGGGAGGAGGGAAATTCGGAGGGGGGTGAAGAGGAGGGAGGGAGGGAAGGGGAGAGGAGTGGTATAGGAGAGGGGCAGGAGCATGTGGCGGAGGAGAAGGAGGAACGAGGGCGAGTTATTTGGGTGAGTGGGAGGAGGCGGAGTAGGAGGAGGAGGAGGAGAAGGAGGAGGAGGAGGAGGAGGATCAGGTGGAGGAGGGTCGAAGACAACGAAGCGTATGTATAATAAGGATGGACGCTTGAGGTGGGAGGAGGAGGAGGAGGAGGAGGAGGATTAGGAATAATAACGCGTAGGGGAAGGATAGGGAGGGAAGTTGGAGAAAAAAGAGGTTTGATGAGGAGGCGGAGAAGGAGGAGGGCTAGGATAGTCAAGGGGGAACAGCAGGGGCAGGAGGAGGTGGAGGAGGATGTTTAGTACAATGGAAGACGAACGGCTGATGAGGGAGAGGAGGGGGCGAGGAATGGTTTTATCTTAAGAGCCCTGGCCTCCTCTTGCGCAGTATGAAAGACATTGCGTGAACGCCTTTCTGTCCGTCGGATGCGTGCGACTGATTCATGCTTGTTGTGTGCCCTTGCTACCTGCGCGCCTCATGTGCACCATATCACGACTCGTTGTGCTCGGACTGCTCAGCTTTGTTTCAGTTTGTCAGACCTTTTTTCGTCGCATGAACTCGTCCACAACATGCTGACGTGTGAGTGAACCGTTCCCGACTCGACTACCTGCCTTGGCTTGCAGCGTTCGTCCTCTGAGCAGCGTGGTGTTCGTCCTCGGGTAGGGGGGGGATGAGGATAGAAATGTGGATGCGCATAAACTACATGAGAATTCGGGGGAGGCATGAGGAGGAAGGATTCAGGAGGGAGTGCCGAGGAGGAGAAGGAGGAGGCGGCAGAGGAGATGTGGAATGAAACAGACGAGGACGAGGACAAGGCGGACGAGAAGTGCGGAGGTGGAGGGGTGAAGGAGGATGGGAGCATATGGAGGATCTCGATGGGGGGAGGTGGAGAGGCAGAGTAAGAGGATCAGAAGGTGGCTGATGTGCGCAGGTTGTGACGGAGGCGGATGGGGGCGAACGTGCATCTTAACGAGGAGGAGGGTGTGGTGGAGGAGGGGAGAAAGGAGGGATCGGAGGAAGAGGTGGACGACGAGCATGAGGCGGATGTTGATGCGACGTGCGAGCGGTTTTCAATACGTTCTGTTGTGGGAAGGGAGGATTTCAAACGTCCTGTTCGAATCCTCGATCTCCTGCCATTCTCTCGATGTCTTCCTGTCCTGTGCCAGGTGCGGCCTCCAGCGGTGCTGGCGGTTTGTTTGGCGCTGGCGCGAGCGGTGCGCTGCGTTGCTCCAGCGATCGGGCAGAGCGTGGCAGACTTGGCATAGCGTGCCTGGACAGGGAAGGCTTCGGATGAGAAGATGATGCTCGGCCAATTGTGCAATGCAGAGGGGCGAGTGGACGATAAAAACGGGCTTGAGGAGGAGGAGGCTGTAGACCCATGCCCCCCGGCGCCATAAGTTGTTCATGACGTCGACCCCAAGAGGTCTCGACCCATTCCCCTGGACCGTGTTTGTTTATCCCGAGTCGAAGGGGAGGAGGAAAAAGGGGGAGGATCGCGAGGGGGAGGGGGGGGGGGGGCACTCGGAGGGCGGAGGGTGAGGGAAGGGGGGAGGAGCAGGAGGGGGAGGGGACAAGCTAGGTGCGCTCGCGTCATATCTGACGTCCTACCCCTCCCTCCCATCCCTTACCATGGCGCTGATTTTCTCTATCCGCGGACGCGTGTCGTAGCGGACCTGTGGCTCCGCGCGCGCGTGCGTGGTGGGTGGTGGTGCGCGTGCGTGCGTGCGTGCGTGTGTGCGTGGTTGTGGTGGTGGTGGTGGTGGTGGTGGTGGTGGTGGTGGTGGTGGTGGTGGTGGTGGTGGTGGTGGTGGTGGTGCGGCGCGGTGGTGGCGGGCGGATGGGCGCGCGAGAAAGAGGCCCGCGCTGGGGCGAGAACGCCATCCTGAACGACGGAGGCCAAACACCGATCCGAAAATGAGGCCCACGCTGCAGCGGGAGCACGATTCGGAACGATTCGGGAGCAGAAATGAGGCCGGCGCCTCAGCGAGAGCAGCATTTTGAAAAAAAACGCGGGCGAAAACCCAACTCCCGGGAATCGTGTGTGTAAAAAACAGTACGCGGGGGGGTCGAATATTTTAGGCCGCCATCGGGGGAAGAGGGAGAGTAGTATTCATATTGAGTAACTGTGGAGGGAAATTCGGAGGGGGCAGGGGAGAGGAGGGCGGGGGAGGGGAGAGGAGGGAGGGGGGAAGGGGGGGGAGCGGGGGGCGAGGGGGAGGAGGGAAATTCGGAGGGCGATGAAGATGAAGAGGAGGGGGGGGGGGGGAAGAGTGGAGGAGCGGGACGGGGGAGGGGCAGGGGCATGTGGCGGAGTAGAAGGAGGAGGAGAGAGCGAGTTAGTTTGGGGAGACGGAGAGGGAGGAGGAGGAGGAGGAAGAGGCGGAGACAACGAAGCGTATACATAATGAGGATGGACGATTGCGGCGGGAGTCGGAGAAGTAGGAGGATTAGGAAGAGGAGCACATTGGGGAAGGATTGGGAATGGGAGTTGGTGAAGAAATATGCATGATGAGGAGGAGGAGGAGGAGGAGGGCTAGGAAGACAAGGGGGAAAAGAAGGAGGAAGAGGAGGAGGAGGAACATGTGGATGTGGACGAGGATGTTCAGCACAATTGAAGACGAACGGCTGATGAGGGAGTGGAGGGGGAGATGAGTAGTTTGGTGTAAACCAGATTTGGAAGAGGAGGACATCGAGGGGGGGAGGTGGAGAGGCAGAGTAAGAGGATCAGGAGGAGGTGACTGATGTGTGCAGGTTGTATCGATGGGGGCGAACGTGCATCTTAACGAGGAGGAGGGTGTGGTGGAGGAGGGGAGAAAGGAGGGATCGGAGGAAGAGGTGGACGACGAGCATGAGGCGGATGTTGATGCGACGTGCGAGCGGTTTTCAATACGTTCTGTTGTGGGAAGGGCAGGATTTCAAACGTCCTGTTCGAATCCTCGATCTCCTGCCATTCTCTCGATGTCTTCCTGTCCTGTGCCAGGTGCGGCCTCCAGCGGTGCTGGCGGTTTGTTTGGCGCTGGCGCGAGCGGTGCGCTGCGTTGCTCCAGCGATCGGGCAGAGCGTGGCAGACTTGGCATAGCGTGCCTGGACAGGGAAGGCTTCGGATGAGAAGATGATGCTCGGCCAATTGTGCAATGCAGAGGGGCGAGTGGACGATAAAAACGGGCTTGAGGAGGAGGAGGCTGTAGACCCATGCCCCCCGGCGCCATAAGTTGTTCATGACGTCGACCCCAAGAGGTCTCGACCCATTCCCCTGGACCGTGTTTGTTTATCCCGACTCGTTTTCGACGGTCCAGAGGCCCAGTATGGGCCCCCAGAGGCAGAACATAGCGAAACATATCCCGTCATTATTTTCCATAGCCCGAAGAGAGTCTGGGGAGGAAGGGGAGCGGCGAGAATCAGAAGAAAGTGGGAGGTTGAATGACGCCGCATGAGTACGTTTGTGCACTTCCTGTCTTCGACCGCCTCGTCGATTGTCCGCGCGGCGCCAGGTGCAGCTTCCGGCGATGTTGGCGGGTTGTTTGGCGCCGGCGCCAATGTTGTTTTCTTTCGCGCCGCTGCCATGGCAAATTTATTGTTGAGAGGAAGCAGTCGGACGCGCTGAAGTTTCAAGGCGAAAGCGTTTCGGAGCAGGATGATTTGGTGACGCGGGTGAGAGAAGCATAGGATCGCGCAAAGTTCGGAGGTTCGGAGGAGGAGGAGGAATCCGCATCCACTTTGGCTCCAGGCTGCGGCAGAGGCTTAAAACCCTGCGTGGATTTCGGTAGCAACCCCTCAGTGTTTTCATTCCGCTGTTCGTTAGAATTCTTCACCTCTGACTGGCCTTTGCTACCCCTTCCCCCCCGCGGCCGCCCGCTCTGCCCTCTTCCCACTCTTGCATGCTGGACAATTCGCTTCCCGGTGCGTTGGCGCAGCCAACTCTGCCTCGTCACCGACGAAAAAAGTTTCCATTGCGCTGCAACGGCGCACGCCAGTTCAGATTCGAGGACAGACGCGCGGCAGCTGATATCGAGCCTACATGGACGTTTGCTGCATGAACCCACCGTCATTTTGAAGCAGCGCGCTCGAGGCTTCGCACAAGCAGGCCGAGCTCCACAGCGGCGAGCATTCCGTTCAGGGTCCAGGGCCCAGAAGCTCAGGCAGTCGGGCAGGCCGTCACCACTGTACGCCACATCTCGTGAATTGCCAGCGAAACGTGCTACTCGGACTTGGTGGCAAGGTCGAAAATATAACGCGGTAGCTTGCGATGGTCTTCATTGTCGACCGTTTAGGCAGTGATGGTTGTTTTTTCATGCCATGATGTTGAGAGGCTTGGACGGTGAACGATGGCACCATGCCGTATGACTTGTTCAAACATGCGAACGGAAAGTGTGGTTTATGTGTTACTCAGATCGCAGTCGCCCAGAAAGCTGCGAGGTCCCGTTTGGATGCTCGTACTCCCCGAATCCATTCTACATCCCAGGAGTTCGCGAAAGTGGCGACAGTTGCACAATTCGCAGTACCCCCAGGGTAGCTGCGATGTTCCATCTGGATGCGCGCGCTCTCCGACTCTGCGGTGCCTCCCACGAGCCCACGAGAGGGGCGACGGCTATGCAGCTCGCAGCCACCCATTGAGCAGCGCAGGAAGAGGAGGCAGACGGCAGGAACAGGGAAGCAGGGAGGAAAAGGGAGGCGGGAGAACAAGGTGGAGACCGCAGTGCTTGATTCAAAACGAGAACCCAGCACACAGGAGGGTTGGAACACCAAGTTTGGCTTGATTTGTCGGTTTTGTCCGCATCCTCCTCACTCGTTTTCTCCTCTTGTTCCCCAGCCCTCCTGTGCTGGGCTTTCGTTTTGACTAGAGCACTGCTGTCCCCACTTCCTCTCCCGCCTCCCGCCTGCCCTGCTTCTCCTGCTCTGCTCCATGGGTGGCCGAGGCTGCGCAGCTGTCGCCACTTCTGTGGGCTCCCGCGGGGTCGAGCTGAGCCGGGGAGTACGCGAACGCAACGGGACCTCGTTGCTCCCTGGGTGGTTGCGAAGTCTGGGTAGTCGAAGGCCAGACTGTCAGACTGGATTGGGCCCCAAGGGCCAATCTGGCCTGGCCATACTGGAGGATTTGGGTTATTCGCCAGACTGGATTCGCGTTGGCTCCCTCGCCAGATTGCCCCCGTTTGCCAGATTGGGCCTGCCAGATTGGCGCCAGATTGGCTTCGACTACCCAGGAAGTGCGCAGGTGGCGCCCCTCTCGTGGGTTCCTGGGGGGTACGGCAGCGTCGGGTAGCACGCAGGCCTGGACGGGACCTCGCTGCTGACGAAGTGACTGCAGCTTGTGCAGTTGTCCCCACGCTCGTTGGCTCCTGGGGGGCACGGCGGAGTCGGGGAGCACGCGGGTCCAGTCGGGACCTCGCTGCTCCATGGGAGGCTGCGAATGGCGCAATTGTCGCCACCGTCGTGGTCTCAGTGGAGGCACGGCGGAGTCGGGGAGCAGGCAAATCCAGTCGGGACCTCGCTGCTCCATGGGTGGCTGCGAATTGCGCAATTGTCGCCACTGTCGTGGTCTCATTGGGGGCACGGCGGAGTCGGGGAGTACGCAATCCCAGACGGGACCTCGCTGTTCCCTGGGTGGCTCCGAAGGGCGCAATTGTCGGCACTGTCGTGGGCTTCTTGGAAGGCATGTTGGAGTCGGGGAGTACGCAGACCCAGGCCAGCCGGGACTGTGCTGCTCCTCGGGTGGCTGCGAATGGTGCAGCCGTCGCCATTTTCTCTGCACGAACGAGATGGGCACGGAAGGAATGGGTACGATGCCCAACAGCAGTTCCTGTTCATTCTGAACAGGATTCGCTGTCCGCGCCGCCGCGGCCTGTGTCCACTCGAGACAGCGGCCGCTGTTGGCTGCCCATTCTTTCCGTGCCCATCTCGGGTGTCCAAATTTTCGTGGGTTCCTGGAAGGCACGGCGGAGTCGGGGAGCACGCAGATCCAGACGAGACCTCGCTGCTCCCTGGGGGTCTGCGGACTACGCAAGTGTTGACACTTCGCGGTCTTCTGGGAGGCACGGCGGTGCGAGGGAGTTCGCAGACCCAGGCGGGATCTCGCGGCTGCTTCGGGGTTGCGGAGAGCTCAATTGCTGCAATTGTCGGTTGGTCGTGGGAGGGACGTCGGAGTGGGGGACTACGCAGACCCAGACGGCACCGCGCGGCTCCCTGGGGGGTTGGGAAGTGCGCAGTTGTCTCCACGTTCGTGGGCTCCTGGGAAGCACGGCGGAGTGGGGGAGTACGTGGATTCAGCCGAGACCTCGCGGCCTCCAGGGGGGCTGCGAAGTGCGCAATTGTCGCCACGTTCGTGGGTTCCTGGAAGGCACGGCGGAGTCGGGGAGCACGCAGATTCAGACGGGACCTCGCTGCTCCATGGGTGGTTGCGAACTGCGCAAGGGTCGCTATTTTCGGGGGGCTCCTGGCAGGCACGGCGGACTTGCGGGGTACTCGAATCCAGACGGCGGGATTTCCCAGCTTTATTGCGAACTGCGCAACTGGCGCCACGTTCGTGGGCTCTTGGGAGGCACAGCGTAGCCGGGGAGCTCGCAGACCTAGACGGTACCTCGCTGCTCCTTGGGTGGTTGCGAACCGCGAAATTGTCGCTACGTTCGCGGGGCACGGCGGAGTAGGGGAATACGCTGACCCAGGCGGGACTTCGCAGTTTCTTGAGTGGCTGCGAATTGTGCAGGTGCCGCCATTTTCGTGGGTGCCTTGGACTCCCGACGGCGTCGGGGAGTACGCAGACCCAGACGGGACCTCCTTGCCCCCTGGGTGGTTGGGAAGTGCGCAGTTGTCGCCGCTTTCGTGGTCTCTTGGAAGGCACGGCGAAGATACGGGCAGCGCAGATCGTGTATATCTGGCGATGTGTTCTTCTGTCCAGAGCGTTCATGCACATCTTCGTCTCCCGTGGAAAATGGGTAGGGCAGGGTAAATCCCTAGTAATCTTCTAATGCAGCTTTGCAATTCCGCTCTCTTCTTCTTCTCCCTCCCTCTTCCTCCTACTCTTCTCCCTCCTCCTCCTACTCGATGTCCCCTTTATTCTCTCCGCTCGAATATCCCCCTCCTCCTCCTCCTCCTTATCCTCATCCTCATCCTTCTCATTATCTTCCTCTTCCTCCTTCGAGTCGGTTATCACTTAATTGCAGGAGACGTGCTCAGCCCCATCTCGACGAGAGGCGGATTTCTGTGAAGGGGAATCCAAACCGTGAGTAGTTTTTCGCTTAACCGTGAGTGGCTTTTTGCTTAACGTGAATGGTTGAGTGCACGCTGTGAGTGCACGCTGTGAGTGCACGCTGTGTTGAGTGTACGCTGTCAGTGCACGCTGTGAGTGCACGCTGTGTTGAGTACACGCTGTGCGCTCACGCTGTGAGCCCACGCTGTGAGCCCACGCTGTGAGTGCACGCTGTGAGCCCACGCTGTGAGTGCACATTGTGAGCCCACGCTGTGAGCCCACGCTGTGAGTGCACGCTGTGAGCCCACGCTGTGAGTCCACGCTGTGTTGAGTGCACGCCGTGAGCCCACTCTGTGGGCCCACGCTGTGAGCCCACGCTGTGAGCCCATGCTGTGTTCCTACGCTGTGAGCCCACGCTGTGAACCCACGCAACACGCAGCACACAACACACCGCACACGAAACACAGCACACGCGCAACACACCACACGCACCACACCGCACACAGCACACCACACGCTGCACTCCGACACCACACGCAACACACCACACGCAACGCACCACACGCAACACACCACACGCAACACACCACACGCAACACACCACACGATACACACACGACACGCAACATACCGCGCGCAACACACTACACGCAACACATCACACGCAACACACCACACGCCACACACGACACGCAACACACCGCACGCAACACGCCACACGCAACACACCACACACCACACATACACACTTCACGCAACACACCACACGCAACAAACCACATGCCACACACCACACCCACCACACCACACGCACACACGACACGCAACATACCGCACGCACCACTCCACACGCAACACACCACACGCAACGCACCACACGCAACACACCACCTGCAATACACCACTCACAACACACCACACGCAACACACCACACACCACACGCCACACACCACACACCATACCGCACACCGCACACCTCCCACACCACACACACACCACCCACCACCACCACCCACCACAGACCACCCACCACGCACCACACAGCACCACCACGCATTACACACCACACACCACACACCACACACCACACACCGCCCACCGCACACCGCACACCGCACGCCGCACACCGCACAACACCAACCACGCGCACACGCACACACACACACACACCACCACCCCACGACCACAACCACCACCACCGCCAAAACGATACCGCCACCACCAACGCCACCACAACCACCACCACAACAATCACCGCCACCACCACTCCCACCACCACCACCACCATCACCACACACAAACGCACGCACACACACACACACACGCCACAGAGGAAATCACTCTCGGACCGCGCGGAGAAATCCAGCGCGTAAGCAATCCGAGATTCCGTCGGGCCCTTGGCGTGCACTCACAGAGTGCGCTCACGGTCTTTCTCACCGGGTGGCGTGCAGCGTGCGCTCACAGCGTGCACTTACAGCGTGCACTCACAGCGTGCACTCACAGCGTGATTGGCCCACGCTTTTGTGTGTGCCCGCCGTGGTGAGCCCACGCTGTGAGCCCACGCTGTGAGGCCACGCTGTGAGGCCACGCTGTGAGTGCACGCTGTGAGCCCACGCTGTGAGCCCACGCTGTGAGCCCACGCTGTGAGCCCACGCTGTGAGGCCACGCTGTGAGTGCACGCTGTGAGCCCACGCTGTGAGCCCACGCTGTGAGTGCACGCTGTGAGCTCACGCTGTGAGCCCACGCTGTGAGCCCACGCTGTGAGCCCACGCTGTGAGCCCACGCTGTGAGCCCACGCTGTGAGTGCACGCTTTGAGCGCACGCTGCGAGCGCAAGCTGTGCGAGCACGCTCATCAGCTCTGCGAGCCCACGACGCCGCGTGCACTCGCAGCGTGCACTCACAACGTGCACTCACTACAGCGTGCACTCACAGCGTGCGCTCACAGCGTGTACTCACCACAGCGTGCACTCACAGCGTGCGCTCACAGCGTGTACTCACCACTGCGTGGGCTCACAGCGTGCACTCGCAGCGTGCGCTCACCACAGCGTGCACTCACAGCGTGCACTCAATCACTCACGGTTAAGCGCAAAGCTCCTCGCGGTTAGGATTTATTCTCGATTGGTGTATGAAAGTTCCATACAAAACTACTCGAAAGATGTACACGATCAGCGCTGCCCTCATCTCCGCCAGGCCTTCCAGGAGGCCACGAACGTGGCGACAGTTGCGCAGTTCGTAGATTCCCAGGGAGCCGCGAGGCCTCAAAAGGATGAGCGTGGCCCCCGACCCCGCTGGACTCGACCTCCCAGGAGCCCATGGAAGTGGTGACAGTTGCAGCCTACCAGGAGGGCAACGAGGTCTCAAATGGGTCCACGCGGCCCCCTGCTCCGCTGGACCTCCCAGGAGCCCACGAAGGTGGCGTAAACTGCGCAGTTCGCAGCCCCGCAGGGGGGGCCGCGAGGTCTCGGCTGAATCTCCGTACTCCCCCGTTCCGCCGTGCTTCCCAGGAGCCCACGAAAGTGGCGACGGTTGCGCACTTCGTAGCCCCCAGGGGGCCGCGAGGTCCTGTCTGGGCCTGCGTACTGACCGACGTCTGCCGTGACCCCCAGGAGCTCTCGAACTTGGCGACAGTTGCGCACTTCCCAGCCCCCGCAGGGGGCCGCGAGGTCCCCGCTGGGTCTGCGTACTCCCCCACTCCGCCGTGCCTCCCAAGCGTCCCTGAAATTGGCGACGACTGCGCACTTCGCAGCCCCCCGGGGAGGCCGCGAGGTCTCGGCTGCGTCTGCGTACTCCCCCACTCCGACGTCCATCCCAGGAGCCAACGACAAGGACGTCAGCTGCGCATTGCCCAGCACCCCAGGGAGCCGCGCGGTCCCGTCTGGGTCTGCGCACTGACCGGCTCTGCTGTGAGCCCCAGGAGCCCACGAACGTGACGACGGATGCACACCTCTCAACCCCCCCCACGGAGCCGCGGTCCCGTTTGGGTCTGCGCACCCTCCCCATTCCGCCGCGCCTTCCAGGAGCCCACGAAAGTGGCGACAACTGCCCAGTTCGCAGCCACCCAGGGGGCCGCGAGGTCCCGTCTGGGTGGTCTGCGTACTCCCCCACTCCGCCGTGCTTCCCAGGAGTCCACGACGAGTGGCGCCAGTTGCGCAGTTCGCAGCCAGACCAAGCGGCCTCTCAGATTCACAGGGCATCGCCGCGCAGTTTCTGCGCTGCCATGGGTCTGCCCACGCACGTGAATCTTGGCTTACGACGGGGGGGAGGAGTACATTGATCTATTAGGCCAGTCATCGAGGTCGACCCGATTCGGCGTTGCATCTGACAAGACGCAGGCCTTCGCGACTGGTCGCAACAGGAGCTGGCAGGGCGCCTGTCCAGGTCCAGCAAATGTGGTGGGCCGATGTTCCACCACCACTACCATAAATAGGCGAGTGGAGGAGGAGGAGGAGGAGGGAGAGAAGGAGGAGAAAGAAGGAGGTAGTGGTTTTGGAAGATGCACCCCTCAACATGGGCAGAGAACTTGCTGGGCGGAGACTTGTCGTGACAGGGCTTGGTCGGGCCTTGCCGCGCTCGGGTCCTCTCTCCGCTGTTTAAACTACAGTGGAGACCCACGCCAAGAAACACCCTGCTGGCCTCCCGGGTGCCCTGGGATTCTTGTGTTTCGATGGTTTTGCGATGGAAAGTGTGACGTTCTCCACCAAAAACCGATTGACGTCCTGGGGTCTCAGAGTTGGGTGTTTGTGGCAGGTTTCTTGTGGAAGGGCCCCTAATGTATCCCTCTCCTGGCCGTTTGGAACTCTGATGCACGTTGGTATCCCTTCGTGTTTGTCGTTGACCTTCTCCCTCCTTCGTGAGGCCTTAGTTTCGAAGCCCGTTCGGTCACGTTGTCGCGTGGACAGGGTTCATCGCAGCGGTCGGGTGATCCCATTTCTTTCTTTGTTTGCCCAGAGTTGGTGCGTGCTTGTTTCATGCTTTGTTCTCGAGTCCAAAGTCTCAGAGCAGGCTGATGATGGAGGAGGAGCGCGGGATGAGGGGAGGATGATGGAGGAGGGATGGAGGATCGGGAAAGATCGAGGAATGACATGACCATCAGAAGGTGGAGGTGAAGGAAGAGAGAGACGGGGAAGACGAAACGTATAATGAGCGAGGAGAGGAGTAGGTTTTCAGAATTTCATGTTCACCTCCGATCCTTCGATCCCGACCGTTCGATCGTTGTCTTCCGGCCCTTCCATCCTTTCACCCTTGCCCTGATTCTTCCAATTGCAGAACGGAAGTCTCCTATCGCTTGATCTTTCGATTGCGATCCCGACCGTTGTAATCCCGATTGGTCGAGTCGAGCGGTCGGGGAGTTGATCGAATGATCTAGCGTTCAGAGGACCTTATCCGCAGGATCGATTGATCGGGATCGGAGGACCGAGGGGTCGTTCGAAGCATCGCGTTCGAAGCATCGAGCTATCAAATGCAGGATCCTTCGATCCTGCTCGGCCCCTAACGTGACATATCGGCCCTTCTTGCCATTTGTCCCCTTCTTCATCACTCCTCTCCTCTGCATCCCAGACCCTTCGTCCCCTCCTGCTAGTCTTAGACGTCTTCATCCTCCTTGTTCTGTTCGGAAGGCCTTACGGCCAGTGCCGCGGACCCTGACGGGGGACGACGACGACCACGACGACGACGACGACGACGACGGCGGCGATGCCGGCGGCGACGGCGACGGCGACGGCGACTGTGCCAGCGACGGCGGCGGCGGCGGACGCTCTGGAGCCCTTCTTATGGTTCTCTTGACTTCTTGGGCCCTGTTGGGATTACTCAGCTTTTTTGTTTTTGAATTCAAAAAACCCTGTTCCCTCGTTCAAGGGAGGAAACGCCTCCCAGACCGGACAATTGGCTTTACTAAACGGCCCTGGGCGTTTACTAAACAGCCTTGCCCTGTTTGGCTCATTCTCTGGGCGCGTTTGCTAAACGGCTTCGCGTGTCGGGGTGGTCATTTTCGGGGTGGATTTTTTTGCCCTCTACTCCAGATCTCGTAATAAAAGGGAGGGGGTCTGGACCCTCCAAGACAAGCCATTTCAGACCCCCCCCGTGGGAGAACCCTCCAAAACATCGTCCCCAGACCCCCCCAGGCCCTCCAAGATAGCCTGGAAGAGACCCCCCCCCGAAATGAGACCCCCCTCCCTTTATTACGAAATCTGGACTACTCGTCTGCGCTTGTCCTGCCTCCTCCCTGCTGCACGGCGCCAGGCGCTGCCTCCGCGGGCGCCGCGGGGCTCTTCGGCGCTGGAGCCAGCGGCGCCCTCTGCGCCGTGGGAGGGTGGAAGGAGGAGGGAGGGGGGAGGAAGGGATAGGGAGGAAGGATAGGGAGGAGGAGGGGAGGAAGGATAGGAGGAAGGAGGAAGGAGGGAGGAGGGATAGGGAGGAGGAGGGGAGGATAGGGAGGAGGAGGAAGGAGGGAGGGGGGAGGAAGGATAGAGATCGGAGGGAGGGCGATAGATAGAGAGGAGGAGCTACTCCACATTTCGTAATAAAAAGGAGGGGGGTCTCATTTCGGGGGGGGTCTCTTCCAGGCTGTCTTGGAGGGCCTGGGGGGGTCTGGGGACGATGTTTGGGAGGGTTCTCCCACGGGGGAGGTCTGACATGGCCTGTCTTGGAGGGTCCAGACCCCCTCCCTTTTATTACGAAATCTGGAGTAGGGATCGGAGGGAGGGCGATAGATGGAGAGGAGGAGCTATACGATCCATGCCTCCCCGAGGAGGAGGAGGATGCAAGCCAAGAGGCAACAGGGAGACTCCATCAGACGGACAGGAAGGAGATGGGGACGGAAAGGCAGCGGACGGGCCAGTGGATACTAGGACGGTGAGAGCACTGCGGGCTAGCAACGGTGAGCAGTCGTGGGCGTTGTCTTGCGGCGAAGCCCAATCACCGTCAGGGCTTGCAAGCCGTCGTGGTTCCCGACCCACTACGTCGGCAACCCAATCAAGATCACACGCACAGAGAAAATGCAGCATCGCAACTGAAGCTGGTTCTGCTCATCGGCTGTCTGGGGCACAGCGATGGAGGTGGCCTCTTGAACTACGGGGGCTGCTCCCACAGCGATCGTAACTTAATTGTTCGCACCGTGGAATGTCCCCTGAGCTGCTCAATTGCAGCGACCGAAGGCCGGTACGGCGTGCTTGGAAGCTGCCTTCACACAAGAGGCGGATGTATTCACAAGAGGTGGATGTGTTCACAACGTTTTTCTCAGCCCTGGGACCCCTACAGCTGCCAAGGACAGAGATAGTGAATCATCCTTTCGCTCGTCGTGCGTGCATGCTACCCCGCAGTGATCATCCCAATTATGATCTTGTGAAATCTCGAGCTCCAAGTGCTCCCAGGAAAAGCATCTTGCGGAGGGCACTGGGCGTAGTCCCCCGTCTCCTCGTGAATCTGGAGTTCGAGAGTTTATACTGGGCGCAGTCTGGGAGAACGTGGGGGGCATTTTGGATCGTTTAGGAACTCCTGGGGGCCAGGTCGAATCCGTCGGAGGCCGTCCAGCATCGTTTTTCTAAGGCGGCCGAAGCCGGCACGTTTGGCCCCCCCCCCCCCTGCAAACCGGCCCGACGAGTTCCCGGGGGAGGGGTTGGGCATCGCGTAATCGGGGGGTGATGCATGGGGGGCAGCGAGGGCTGCAGAAAAGTGGCCCGTTTGGGCGCCCAAAGGGGCTGGGCCCCCAAAGGGGCCTTCTCGGGCCAAGAGGAGGCTTTGCGGGCCCGAAGAGTGCACCTTCCTCCCCGCCCCATTCATCGCCCACCCATTGAGCAACGCCCAAGAGGGGTTTGGGAAGGGCAACAGTCCCACACCTCGTAGACCCAGGGGTCAGCGAATTATCTCAAACCTCCTGGTGACTTCTATCCGCGATGTTAGTAGTGATTGCGTGTCGCGAGGTGGACAAACGCTTCCGAAAGAAAGGAGGCTGGAGGATGCGGACTTGGAAAATCGGCAGTGCGAAGACGAATGTGGAAAGGAGGTTGACGACGACGATGATTTGGAAGAAGAGGATGATCGGGGGGGGGTTGTAGATGCGTCGCAGCAGCAGCAGCAGGCAAGGAGGGAGATGGCCGATGCAGGAGGGAGCCCGGCACTTGTGGGCCTTCCTGGGCTTCTCCCTTCAGGGGAGGATGCAGATCACGCTGGAGACTGGCTCGCTGAGAGCAGGATCAGCTGCAGCAGGCGAAGGAGGAGTACAGTCTAGACGCTGACGTAAGGACCACTTTGGGCTCAGGAGCGGTTATCCTTTTCGGGCCCTTCCTGAGAGCGAGTACACTGAAGACACTGACGTAAGGACCACTTCGGGCTCAGGAGCGGCTTTGGTTTTTCTCGGGCCGTTCCTTAGAGCGAGTACAGTGAAGACGCTGACGTAAGAACCACTTTGGGCGCAGGAACGGCCCTGGTTTTCTCGGGCCGTGGCAGAGCCTTGGGTCGCGGGGCCTGTTTATGGCAGAGGCTCGCTGTTGCCAGAACAAAAAACCCTTTCGTTCCCTAGTCGGCGTTCCTCCTGCCACGGGGGCTGTGGGCGGAACAGGTAAACGTGATGACTGGTGATGATGAGGACGAAGACGACACATCGTTATGAAGTAGGCGGCTGATGTGGCTGCGCATGATGAAGAGGACGCTGGTAAGGAAGACCTGAAGGCTGGAGGGAGAACCAATACATAGGCAGTGCTCGCGTGCTTCTTGTTTTGAGAGGGAAGCGGGGGAGTAATGGGAACGGATGTAGAAGGATGAGAAGGCTGGCAGCGACTGAACTTAAGCGCGAGGGGTGATAGTCGACGTCCCTCCCGATCCAATGCTCCCCAAACGGCGTCCCGTCTCGATTCTGTCTGCACGACGCCAGGCGCTGCCTCTGGGGCTGGCGGACTGTTCGGTGCCTGCCTCAAAGTAGCCGTTTTTGTTCACGTCGGCAGATCGGGCAACAGGAATGTTGAGAGGACGGACTGTGATTACATCCTGATCGGCTGAAGTATCCAAAGAACCAGAGGATGTGGCGGTTGTGGACTGGACGGTTCGTGTGAGGCGTCGAGGATGACGAGGAGGACGCGTAGGTCGATGAGGAGGGGGGCATCTATATGGTGAGGTCGAGGAGGACGGTCATGAGCTCGAGGACGATAACGGTTGTAATCGAGGAGGAGGGGGTAGATGGGAAGCAGGATCATGGAGAAGAGAGGTGGGAGGGCAATCACTTGGGAGGAGCAGCAGGAACGTGGGGGTGATGAGACGGACGACGATGATGAGGAGCATGAGCAGAAGGGAAGTTGGGGGGATGAAGAGGTTTGACGAGTCCCAGCAGCAAAAGGAGGGCGTCCAGGAGGCTTGGCCTGGCGAGGGGCCCAGAAGCTCCCAATGCTGCCACGAACGACGGGGGCAATCGACATGGGCGCGGTCAGGCATGCGAGCTTTGCTATGTGGGTCTGATGTGGAGCTTCCTATTCGGAGGGGGAAGAGGTATCCATACCGCTACCCTTGCCGCGTTCTCCCTGTCTTGGGCCTCCTGGTCGGCCTTCGTCGCCACCGCTTGATTACATTCGAAATCTTGGTCAGAAGGCACCCCAGGAGAGGTCCGGGGAGTAGCGGAATCGGTACCTCCTGGTTTCCCCATATGGGGCCGTGAAAACGTGTCAGGGGCCAGTGATGTGAGCGTGGTCAGGGCAACAGCCCACGCATGCGTGCGGACTGTTGCATGTTGGCTTTCTGTGGAGCTCCCATAGAGTTTGACAGGCGTGGTAGGGGCTCGCGAAATGAGTCCACGACTTCATGCGCACCTAGTCATTTTGGCATTATGTGAAGCTTCTGTGGGGTTTGGCAAGCGTGGCAGGGGGTGAGCGACATGAGCCCACGGCGGCATGCAGACTTTTTATGTTGGCTGATGTTGCAGCGGGGCTTGAAAAGCGTGGCAAAGACGAGCGACGTGAACCCACGATGGCACGCGGACGGTTGGCCTTTGGTGGAGCTCCTACGGGGCTTGGAGTGCGTGGCAGGGGCGAGCGAACCGAGCCCACGATGGCACGCGGGCTTGTTCGTTTGGGCCCTTTTCTGTGGAGCGCCTACGGGCCTTTGCGAGCGCGGCAGGGGTGTGCCAGGGCAGAGACAGAAACCATGAGGAGCTGCGTTTTTTTTCGGGTGGAGGCCGGGTTTTTTTTTGGGGGGTTGGAGCCGAAAACCGAAAAATAAACCTTTTCAACCCGAAAAAAACCCAGCTCAACAAGGAGGGGTAGGAGGACCGAGAGTGGACGCTGGGTGCTTCTGATGCGAACTTAGGACCCAATGCCACAGTATGGTTGGGACATACGTGGGGGCGCCTGAGCAAGGACTGCATGGCCACGCAAGGAGTGCACCATGCCACTCCGGGGCATCCTCGACTCTTGCCTGTAGAGAGGACGCGCGCCGCATTGGACACGTCGACGGAATGTCGGCCACATCCACACAAGCACGTGGGGAATGACGTGGGACAGCCATTCGGATGGACAGCCATCGGATAGACAGCTGTCGAAAACCAAACCAGACGCCATATGCGCGACGCCTCCCTTTCCTTCCCCCTTCCCCCCACCTTCCTTCATTCCCCCCCTCCTTCTTGCATGACGCAGTGCTGGTGCAACTCCTACCGCAGCCCACTACTGCAATACACAGTGGTTGCGCTCCGGCGCGCTTGCATTCAGCCCAGAGATGTCTTCTGCATGCGGTTTCCGCGGCCCTTCTATACTACCATCTTTTCTGCCGATGCGCCGTCGATTCTAGGTGCGGCTTCTTGCGTGCGTCCAAAGGTGCACCACGCATGCCAGGCTGGGTAGTCGAAGGCCAGACTGTCAGATTGGATTGGGCCCCAAGGGCCAATCTGGCCCGGCCAACCTGGGTGATTTGGGTTATTCGCAAGACTGGACTCGCGTTGGCTCCCTCGCCAGATTGCCCCCGTTTGCCAGATTGGGCCTGCCAGATTGGCGCCAGATTGGCTTCGAAGGTGCACCACGCATGCCAGGGGCGTCACGCATTTCACGCGTTCCGGCCGCGCCCGGCGCGCCACGCGAACGTTGCGCGCAGGGTGCGCCAGGTGCGCCAAGTGCTGGTGGCTGCGCACCTCGGGCAAGATGCCGTCCTTCTTGGTCTTCCTCCCCCCCTCCTCCTCCTCCTCCTCCTCCTCCTCCTCCTTCTCCTCGTCGTCCTCCTCCTCCTCCTCCTCCTCATCATCATCATCATCATCATCATCCCTCTCCTCCTCCTGCTCCTCCTCCTCCTCCTCCTCTTCCTCCTCCACCCCAGCATCGCTGTCAGCGCCAATGCACAGAGTCGCGGGGGGGGGGGGTCAGCATTGTGTGTGACGCGTGCGCCTGTGCGCCGCCTGCAGAAGTTTTTGGTGTTCCCAGTGGGCGAGCGCATAGCGGATACGTGTGGTCCCCCCCCGCCATCCCTGTCAGTCACAAATCACGGTTGTCTCGAAGAGTTTTCTGGATTTCCATGCTGTATTGCCAGTGGCATGTTGTATTCGTTGTATCTTGTAATCGTGTGATTGATTGGTACCCCTCCTGTGTTTGTTTCTCGTTTTGGAGAGGACGCCGTGGTCTCCTCCTCTCCCATCCTCCTCGCTCCTCCTGCCCCCTCATGCCTCAAACATCCCCTTTTCCTTGCCTCTCGCGGTCGAGTGGTCTCTGGGTTGTTGTGATTTGTGGACTGTCGCCACGTTCGTGGGTTTTTGGAGGCCCTTCGGAGTGGAGTTGCACGCGTGCCCAGACGGGACCTCGCGGCTCCTTCGGTGGTTACGAATTGTGCAAGTATCTCGACTCAGGAAGTCCAGCGGAGTGGATGTGTATGCGCATCTAAACGGGACATCGCGTTTCCCTGGGTGGTTGCGATCTGCGCCACGTTCCTAGGCTCCTGGGAGGTCCAGCGGAGTGCAGTAGTACGCGCATCCAGACGGGACCTCGCGGTTCGCTGGGTGGCTGCGAATTGAGCGTTTGTCGCCATTTTCTTGGGCCCGTGGGTGACTTCTGGAATGGAATTGCACGCACATCCATACGGAACCTCGCTGCACCTTGGGTTCTGGGTGGCTGCGGTCTGCGCAATTACCGCCATTTTCGCGGATTCTTGGGAGGTCTTTCGGAATCGAGTTGTACGCGCATCCAGGCGGGACCTCGCGGCTCCCTTGCAGGTTGCGGATTGCGCAATTGTCGCCATGTTCGTGGGCCCGTGAGAGGTCCAGCGGAGAAGAGTTTCACGCGCACCCAGACGGGACCTCGCGGCTCCCTTCGTGGTTGCGACGCAACGACCCGATTCGCGGGCTTTCAGGAGGTGTGTTGAAACTGCATGACGCAATCCAACAAGATGGTTCGCGCGCTCGGCGTTGCCAAGTTCCTGCGCGACTGAAGGGAGGAAGACCGCCAGCGGGTTAAGGGCGAGCGTGCGCATTGTTTGCCCGCCGTCGTGTGTCTGTCGCCCGCTGCGGCAGCACGTGCGAACCGAAAACACGTAACGCATGGTGTTGTCACCTTCATCAGTAGGCCCCCCCTTTCGTTATCCATCCTCCTTGTCCTTTCCCCTTTTCCTCTTCCTGCCCCGCTTGTGTGCCTTTGCTCTGTTGCGCAGGTGTGCGAAGTGCCTGGCCCGAAATTGTTTCACGCCGCGTTCCTGGGTGCTGCGTGTATCGCAGCGCGCTTTTACGTATAAAACGCTCAAAGAAGTGGTCACCCCAGTTGTAATAACGGGTGGGTACCTTGTGTGGCCCTGCTGTGTTTCATGCTGGGCGTGCTCATCGAGCTATTCTGCCTCATGTCCTTCTCCTCCTTCCTCTTCGTCGTTTGCGACCCGAGGGGTGCCGAGGTGAAGCACTTAAACTTGTACCGCTGCATTCTGAATGACACTTTTACCACTTGGCGTTGTTGCACACTCGTGTCACACAGCCGGCTTGCGCCGGCGTCGTGCTCTGCGACCTGTTGTTCGTCAATTCGTGTACTCATATTGTGGACTGTCGTCGAAGGTTCTTGGTCGTCTGACTGGTGGTGTCAGAGATACCTTATGTGGCCCTGCTGTGTTTCATGCTGGGCGTGCTCATCGAGCTATTATGCTTTTTGTCCTTCTCCTCCTTCTTCTTCGTCGTTTGCGACCCGAGGGGTGCCGAGGTGAAGCACTTAAATTTGTACCGCTACATTCTGAATGACAGTTTTACCACTGGCGTTGTTGCACACTCGTGTCGCACAGCCGGCTTGCCCCTGCGTCGTTTTCTGCCAGTTGATGTCCCCCGCTTTATCTACCTCCTTCTTGGTATGGTGGTCGGAGTTTCTTGGTCGTCTGACCTGCGGTGTCAGATATACCGTATGCGGGCCTGCTGTACTCATGCCGGGCGAGCTCATCGAGTTTTTTCCGTTTCTTTGAGGCCAGGCAGCCCCTGGCCATAGTCATTATACGTGTTTGGTAATTTGTCAAATGTTCATTCCCTTCCTCATGCGGGCTCACTCACAGACGGACGCCGCGGATAAACACACCCCTGAGTTCAGATTCGGGGCCCGGGGGGAGGGGGGGGTCATATCCATTTTCCCCTGCTAGCTCGCATGTGCGGGTGTACGGTGTGCGGACGCATTGTGTACGGATCTACGGTGTACGGAGTGCGCGGGTGTAAGGGGTGCCGAAACATGGTTCCCTGGAGGGGCATCTTTGGAGGGATAGAGTGAATGCGATATTATGGAAATTGCATGACAGAAAAAGATGATATCTACGCTGGTCCCGTGGATCAGAAAGTTCGGCCTCGCCGCTCCACCCGGTCCGACCCGTTCTTTGCATCATTTCAACAACGCATGCTTGGTTTATTCTCCGGCAATTGGAACGCTATGGATCATCAGTGTATTCATCATGCATGTTCGTCGTTTTCGTTATTCTTCATGTTTCCTTTCCTTTTTCTTCTCCCAAGGTTCATCTGCAACGCTTTTACAACAGGGTTGATTATGTGGCGACCTTACAAAAAGATTTCACCTGTGGAAGATTTGCAACGGCTTCCACTTTTAGAATATTTTTGTAGCAGCCTGTGTGCAAGGATTATTGTTGTGGCGGTTTTGCAATAGTGCTCTAAGCGCGGGGGATCTGCAGTGGCGGCACCGTGGGCCAAGGAAAGCTAGAGAGGAACACCGGAGAAACATGGAAAACGTAAAACACGTGCGTTTCCACATGGGAAACAGGATGAAGCGAGGAAATATTGTGAATCACGATATGTTTTGGGTGCCGATGACCGAACAATTAAAATATGTGTGTAGCAGCCTTTACAAAATGATTCTTTTTTTTGGCGACCTTACAACACAATGTTTTACGTGCGGAAAATGTGCAGTGGTTTCCACTATGAGAGTTTTTTTTGTAGCAGCCTGGACAAAAGGGATTCCTTTTTGTGGCGGCCTTACAATAATGTTTGAATTGTGCGGGATTTGCAGCGGCGGCACTGTGAACCCAGGAAGGCCCAAGAGGAAAACAAGACAACAACAACAACATTAAAAACACTTGTGTATTCACACTGAAAGCCAAGAGAATCTAGGAAAATCTGTGGTTGACGATATTTTTAGAGTACAGATGACCGAACACTTAAAACCCTTTTATAGCGCCCCCCACAAGAAAAGGATCGTTTTTTTGTGACGACCTTTCAAACAAATGTTAATTGTGATGGATCTGCAATGGTCTCCACAATTGGAGTCCCTGTGTAGCAGCCTTTGCAAAGGGATTCCTGTTGTGGCGGCCTTACAGGAAAGTTTTTAAGCACGATGAATCTGCAGTGGAGGCACCGCGGGCCAAGGAAAGCTAGAGAGTGAAACAGGAACAAAAACAGGACAGCATCAAACAAACATATTCTTCCACAAGGGAGGCCGGAAAACGCTAGGAAAACGTGACTCACGCGATCTTGAAGTGCGAATGGTCTACACTTACAGTCTTTTTGTAAGGCCACCAGTCTTATATTATATGCACCTTGAAAATAATAGCAGCTACAAGTTCTCCTAATGTTGCCCTGTTTTCCCTTGTGGAAGCACAGGCTTGTTCATGCTTATCTTGTTTGTTTACGGTTTTCCTCTTTAGCTTTCTTGGGCATACGGTGCCGCCATTGCAGATTCCCCACAATTGCTTCAGGTTGTCCTAGTTGTGTTCCTGTTTTCCCACGTGGAAACACATGTTGTTCGTGTTATCGTTTATGTTTTTCTCGTTTTCCTCTCTAGCTTTCCTGGGCCCACGGTGCCGCCACTGCAGATCCCCCACATTGAAAGCCTTCTTGCGACGCCGCCACAAAAGGACCCCCTTTTGTACAGGCTGCTGCGGCGGGATTCTTTAAGTGTGGAGGCCGTTGCAGATCCATCACACTTGAAATCCTGGTGTAAGGTCGCCACACAAAATAATCCTTGTGTAAAGGCCGCCACGAACGGATTGTTAGTGATTGATCACCTGCGCATGTGACAACACATGCCTTTGCATGTGTTTCCTGTTGTTTAGTGTTTTCTTCTCTAGCGTTCCTTGGCCCACGGTGCCGCCAGTGCAGATCCCCCGCACTTACAACTTTCTCGCAAGGCCGCCGGACAAGGAATCCTTTTGTACAGGTGCTACAACAAGGATTTTAATGGTGGGGGTTATTGCACACCCAGCACCATTAGAATTCTTGTTGCAAGGCCGCCTCAAAAGAGATCCTTCTGTAAGGGCCACTGCACATGCATTTTAAGTGTTCGGTCATCTGCACCCTAAAAAAAGCGGCTCCCACAGGTTTTCCCCGTGGTTTCTTGTGTTCCCATGTAACAGCACATGGTTTTTCATATTTTCTATTTTCCTGTATTCCTCTCTAGCTTTCCTTCGCCCACGGTGCCGCCACTGCAGATCCCCCGCACTTAAAATGTTGGTGTAAGGCCGCCACACAAGGACTCCTTTTGCACAGGCTGTTACAACAGGATTCCCAGTGTGTGGGCCATTGCAGATCAGCACAATTAGCATATTTTTGTAAGATCGCCACGAAAGATATCCTTTTTGTAAAGGCCGCTACACTATGATTTTAAGTGTTCGGCCATCTGCACCCTAAACACAGCGACATTCACAGGTTGTCTTAGTTGTTTCTTGCTTTCCGTGTGAAAACTCATGTTTTTTTCATGCTTGTCATGTTTTTCTTATTTTCCTCTCTAGCTTTCCTGGGCCCACGGTGCCGCCACTGCAGATTCATTGTAAGTACAACTTGCTCGTAAGGCCGCCACAAAAGGAATCCCTTTGCACAGGCTGCTACAACAGGATTCTAAGTGTGGGGACCATTGCAGATCCATCACAATCCAAACCCTTGTTGCAAGGTCGCCACACAAAAGACTTGGTGTGTAAAGGCATTACAAAAAACCTTGGGAGAATAATACGGAATGGGAAGAAGAAGAAGACGAAGAAGAACGACGGCGAACATGCATGGTGCGTAAATTCGTGATCCATACCGTTCCAATCGCCAGGGAGTCTAACACACTTGGCTGTAATCGCACGAATGGCGGGTCCCACCCGCCCACCGTCGGAGATAATGGATTGCCTTCCGGCCCATCCCGCCACCGTGCCTGGGCGGTGGGTACGAATCCTATTGGATGTTCGTTGGGATCTCGCGGGGGGCTTCCTGGAGGCAGTTTGGTGGCCTCTTGGGGGCCGTTTGGGACCCACTGGGGGGCCTTTTTGGGGCCTTTTTTGTCTTGGGCGAGGCGATGGTTTCAGCATCCCAGCGGGGGAGCCCCAGCGAACCCCCAGGAGTTCCTGGGAAGCCCCCAGGCGTCCCAGGAAACTCCAGGGAGCCCCAGGAAGCTCCAGGGAACTCCCAGGAGCTCCAGGATGTCTCAGAAAACTCCAGGGCATCCCTGTACCCAGGAAGCTCCAGGGAGCACGAAGTTCCCAGGAGCTCAGGATGTTCCCAGGAGCTGTTGGGAACCAGCGGGAGCTGTATGTTCGTGGCAGTTCGCTTGTTTGGTTGCCCAGACGATGTTCGCTTTCAGAGCAGACTGCGTGGATGTCTCGACCGAGGCGTTGGCTTCAGCATGCCAAGGGGAAGCCGCATGTGGACATTTCGCTCGCCCGTTCGCGCCCCAGATTGTGGGGATGCTTGAGGTGGTTTGCCTGTTCGGCGCTTTGGATTTGTCTGATTTCAAAGCGGACCGGTGATGCCTCCAGCGAGGCGTTTGTTTGAGCACCCCAGGGGGAACCGCCAGGGGCCCTTGCACGGAGGAGTGTGGAGGGGAGGAGGTGGTGGGTGAGGAGGATGAGGGTAATGGGGGACGAGCGAGGACGAGGGACGGGGAGGAGGAAGGAGGAGGAGGAGGATAAGGAGGCGGAGGGGAAGAGAGGAATTTGAAGGAGGATGGGGTAGAGGAGGAGGAGGAGGACGAGGAGGAGGAGGAGGAGGAGGAAGGACGAGGGACGGGGAGAAGCGAGAAGGAGGAGGCTTTGCAAGGGGGGCGCGTCCACCACTCCTGGCCTCAGAGCTTGCCCTGCGGGGACTGGCGCAGGCGGATACAGGCAGTCAGAAGTTCTCAGCCAGATGCTAACAGCGAGACGTGCCAGAGAAATGAGATGCACACATTGGGATCTCCGCGTCGAGCAGTTGCTTATTGACAGGGGTAGTTGGACAGGGGAGAAGCATTGTGGGGGAGCCGGTCGACTGTTGGAGGGAATATCGATTGATACGGAGCAGTGAACCCCTAAGGCCCAGCATCGGTGCTTCAAACATTACCCTGGCGACATACCCGACCCCTGCGCAATGCGGGGCATGAGTAGCTTGAGAGACGCTATACGGAGGTGATGGATGACGTGACATGGGCGCATATACTTCTTCGAGCGGCATTCGTGAGGCTCGCAGCCCCCCAGGGATTGCGAGATCCTGCTCAGATCTGCGTGGTGCCTCCGCTGGACCCGCCACCAGCCTTCGAAAGTAGCGACGGTTTCGCAGATCGCAGCCCCCCAAGGACGGCGAGGTCCCGCTCAGATCTGCGCGGTGCCTCATTCCGCTGGACCCGCCAGCAGCCCTTGAAAGTGGGAACAATTTCCAAGATCGCAGCCCCCCAAGGACGGCGAGGTCTCGCTCAGATCTGCGCGGTGCCTCACCCTGATGGGCCCACCAGTAGCCCTCAAAAGAAGTGACAGTTTCGCAAATCGCTATGCTGGCCCCCCCAAGCAGCCCTCGAAAGTGGCGACGGTTTCGCAAATCGCAGCCCCCCAGGGATGACGAGGTCTAATTTGGATCTGCGGCGGCTACCCACTATAGCTGGCCCCCCCAGCAGCCCTCGAACGTGGCGACAGCTTCACACATCGCAGCCCCCCCCCCAGGGCTGGCGAGGTCTAATTCGGATCTGCGGCGGCTACCACTATGCTGGCATCCCAAGCAGCCCTCGAAAGCGGCGACAGTTTCGCAAATCGCAGCCCCCAGGGATGGCGAGGTCTAATTTGGATCTGCGGCGGCTTCCCGCTATAGCTGGCCCCCCAAGCAGCCCTCGAAAGTGGCGACGGTTTCGCAAATCGCAGCTCCCCAGGGATGGCGAGGTCTAATTTGGCTCTGCGGCGGCTACCCACTATGCTGCCGCCCCCCACCCCAAGCAGCCCTCGAAAGTGGCGACAGTTTGGCAAACCGCAACCCCCAGGGATGGCGAGGTCTACTTTGGATATGCGGCGGCTACCCAGTATGCTGTCCCCCCCAGCGGCCCTCGAAAGTGGTGACCGTTTCGCAGATCGCAGCCCCCCCGGCAATATGCACTTACCAGGGGTACCGCAAGCAAGATTCACACACAAGAGGTACGCACAAGGCAAGAGGAAACAAGAGGGAGGCGGGAGGAAGGAAGGAAGGACGCGCGAGCAGTGCTCTATTCAAAACGAATGCCCAACTTAGGAGGGTTGGGGAAAAACAGTTGAAGGCATTGCCCACCGACTCCTCGGAATCGTGTGAATTGACCCCCTGATCGTTCCCAGAGTCTAGCATGAAAGTTGTCGTCCTGGCCCCTTGGAGACTCGCAAGAGCGCCCCGTGCGCAGCGGCACGCGGTGAAGGCGCTCGCTGATATTACCCCGCGCTGGGCAGGAGCCAGCTTCTGTCACCGAGCCCCCTCGGTGGGAATCCTGGGTAGTGGACGTTCGATTCCCCGACGAATGGTGGCAGGCACAGAAAGAATCAGAAACGCAGTGTGTACCCCCACGTGAGCCGCTAGATACTCCAGAACTCTTAAGACTTACCTTGAGCCAGCCGTATGATGACGTCACTCCCGTCCGAAATGCTGTAAGACGCCAGACGCCTCTCTTGATCTCCTCCAGCTCCTTTCTGCACAGCGCCAGGCGCTGCCTCTGGGGCTGGCGCAGTGTTTGGAGCCGGGACCAGCGGTGCCGCCCGTGGGCGTCTGCGGATGGGGCAGTTGGCACTGTCAACCCGCGTAACAAGGACGGGCAACCTTCCCAAGGGTACCCTTGCATCTGTGTCCCCTCGGTGCATCCTTGGCCACTTTCGTTAGTCGCGCCCCGCTCGAAAGTTTCGAAATGGGCTTCCAAGGGCCTTGCATCCTTATCGCGCGTCCTTACTATACGGGTTGACTGTAAGTGGGGAAGGGGGGACAAGCGCGGAGACGGGGACGCGGACGAGGGCGAGATGGCGAGGAGGGGGAAGCGGAGGACGAGGAGAAAGAAAGGGGGGCGCAGGGCTGAACGCAGGCAGGTGGCGGGGACAGGGACCGAGATCTGGGGGCGACGTCGGGGGCGACGGCGCGTGAAGCAGGGGCGGGGACGGGAAGGGGGAGAAGCGGCAGCAGGAGCGCAGGAGGAGGACAAGAGGAGGGTTAAGAGGCGGGGCGGGAATAATCAGCAGCCGCAGGGCGGGGCTCGCCTGTTTTGTTCGCAGGGACGAGGAGCGGCACCACTTGCAGCAGGGGGGGCAGCAGAGGGGGAGGAGGAGGAGGAGAGGGAGGAGGAGGAGAGGGGAGGAGGAGGAGGGAGGAGGAGGAGGAGGAGGGAGGAGGAGGAGGAGGAGGAGGAGGGAGGAGGAGGGGAGAGGAGGAGGAGGAGGAGGAGGAGGAGGAGGAGGAGGAGGACGAGGACGTCAGCACGGAGTCAAGCAGGGGGTGTCGTGCTGAACTTCCCCGTGATCCTGCATGTCTCGAGTGACGTTCAGACCCGCTCCTGCCTTGCCGGCGCCAGGCGCTGCCTCTGGGGCTGGCGCACTGTTCGGTGCCGGCACAGGCGGTGCCGCCCATGGGCCTCGGCGAAAGGGGCCAAGAGAGAAAGGGACAGCACACGCGGACCAAGCCAATGTGTCCAAGGAGCAGCAGTATGGGGAGCATGAAGTGGAGGAGCAGGAGTACGAGGGTCGAGGATCCAGGATCGATGAAAAAGCAATACAGTGCTCGCGTGCGTCTGTTTTGATGGGGAAGCGGGGGAGAAAGTAGAACAGATGCAGGAGGGACAATGAGAGGACTGGCAGCGACTGAAATCAAGCGCGAGGAGGGTTACTCGACGTCCCTCTCGATCCAATGCTCCCCGAACGTCGTCCCGTCTCGATGCTGTCTGCACGACGCCAGGCGCTGCCTCTGGGGCTGGCGGACTATTTGGTGCCTGCCTCGGCGTAGCGGCTTTTACACGTCAGAAAGGGGAGCAGGAATGCTGAGAGAAAGAGCTGTGATTACTTCCTTGAAGGCGGTTGTGGCGGTTGTGGACTGGCAGGTTCGAATGCGGCGTGGAAGATGAAGAGGAGGACGCAGAAGACGACGAGGAGGAGGAGGGGCAGCAGTATGCTGAGGCCATGGTGGACGAGAGGGAGTTGGAGGACGATAGCGGATATGATCGAGGAAGAGGGGGCGATAGGAAGCATAATCATGGAGAAGAAAAGTGGAATGACAATCGTTGTGGAGGAGCAAAACAGAAGGAACGAGGAACGTGGCGATGATGAGAAGGATGGCGAATAGGAGGAACATGAGAAAGAAGGAAGTTGTTGGGAGGTGAAGGCTTGGGATGACAGCAGAAGTAGAGCGTCCAGGAAAATTAGCTTGGCGAAGCAACAGCCCAATGCAGTTGTCAGTAGCGCAAGACAGGCGGGCCCGGGGAGGGGGGGCCCCCCAGGGTAGCGCGAATGACGGGGGCGATCGACATGGGCGTGGTCAGGCATGCGATCTTTGCAATTTCGGCCTTCTGTGGAGCTCCCCAATCGGAGAAGGTACCCATACCGCTACCCGTGCCTCGTTTTCCCCGTCTTGGGCCTCCTGGGAGGCCTTCGTCGCCACCGCTGGATTCGCCTCGAAATCTCGACCTGGTCAGCAAACACCCCAGGAGAGGTCCGGGGAGTGGCGATCTCGCTGCTTTCTGGTTTCCCCATCTGGGGCCGTGAAACCGTTATAGGGCCAGCGATGTGAGCGTGGTCAGGGCGAGCGAAGTGATGGGTTCAGCCCACGGTGAAGGCCAATGTGAAAAGTCCGAAAGCAATCGGACTTCTTCACATTGGCCTTCTGTGGAGTTCCTATGGGGCTTGACAAGCGTGGCAGGGGCGCGCGTAATGAGCCCACTATTACACGCCGACCGAGTCAGTTTGGCCTTCTGTGGAGCTCCTACGAGGTTTGACAGGCGTGGCAGGGGCGAGTGGACCGAACCCACGATTGCATGCGGACTTTTAATGTTGGCAGTTGTTTTGTGGAGCGGGGCTTGAAAAGCGTGGCAGGGGCGAGCGGACCGAGCCCACGATTGCACGCGGACTTTTTCACGCTGGCCTTTTTTGTGGAGCTCCTACAGCCGGCCCAGGTTAGTAGGTCGACCCTGCCAAATCAAGGGTATTTTTGTGTCCTGAGTCTCGCTACCCATGCTTCCTGCATTCCTGTGGCAATGTGGCCCTTGGGATGGTCTTGTGTCCTCTCGCGTGTCCTGTCCAATCAGGGCTGACTGCATGGGGCTTGGGGGTCGCGGCGCGGGTGTGCCAGAGCAAAGTCAGGACAGACTAGGGGGAAGAGGCCCGAGAGGGGACGCGGGGCGCTTCTGATTGGAAATGGATACCCAACACAGGAGCGCTGCAGGACTGGGTGGCCAGTGCACTGGTCCACCACCATTCAATTGCAAAGCAGGGGCTGCATGGCCAGGCCAGGAGTGCAACCTGCCACTCCTGGGCATCGTCGACTCTTGCCTGTAGAGAGGACGCGCGCCGCATTGGACACGTCGACGGCACGTTCGCAGCATCAGCAGAAGCACCTGGGGAATGACGTCGGACAGCTATTCGGACGGACAGCCATTTGGAATTCACAACAATCGGATGGACAGCCGGCGGGGGCCGAACCAGGCGTCATGTGCGTGACGCCCCAAAGGCGCACCACGCGTGCCCGGGGCGTCACGCGTTCCACGTACAACCAACAGCGCCCAGTGTTCCAGCCGCCCTTGGTGCGCCACGTGCACGACGCGTGCGGAGGTGTGCCAGGTGCGCCGACGCAGATGGCGGCACACATCGGGCATGATGCCGTCACCCCACCCCCAGCGTCGTCGGGTGGGAGAGGGCGGCGCACCAACAAGACTGCGGATTGCGCGGTATTATTGAGGAAGAGAGCGGCGAGGTCCTCCCACGTGGTGGAGATCGCCCATCCCCCGAGCGACCTTGCGGGGAGATGCGGTCTCATCCGCATCCGGTCTGGCAAGTTTGATATCACGGTGGTAGTGGCCTAATATCCCCCGATGTCCAACATGAAGGTCGAACAGTGGCGCAGCGCGTGCAAACGCCTTGCGTCCTGGCTCCACACGAGCATTCAGTTCGCCAAGCACAGGTCGCTCGTAGGCGTGGGCCTTGGCGCGAATTGCCAGTTCCGTCGACGAAGGCGTGGGCAACGGCTGAGCACGACGTCGCAGGATGGTCGGCACGTCGGCCCGTATTTGATGGGAGAGAAGAGTGAAGTGTCGGCAAAAATATGGCGTATATTTGACATTGAGGACTTGGCAATTGTTGATCGTTTCTTTCCTGTCGGGCCCACGTACCATGGCGCGGAGTTCCAGAGTAGTAGTGCCCGGCCACATCATGGTTCCAGCGGATGCACCACAGGCGACGAGACAGTGTCGTGTTCTGAAGCGTTGCACGCGGGAGTTGCAGGTCATCCTCGACGCCAGGCCGAGAGACCATGCCCCCGTCCTATGGCAGGCGAATTACCAGCTGCAGGCGACGACAAACCAAGACCGCGAGGGTGGACCAGCGTGGGATCGTGAGTACTTTGCAAAGTTGCTACAACATCTGGGACACGCAGGTAGCATCATGGCAGAGTTAGAGAAGGCTTCTATCGAGAAGCGGAGGGACCTCGTGGATGACATACAGCAGGCGGCGCTCCCAGAGGTTTCGGAAGCAGCCCAGAGAGGTAGGTGCCTTCAATACTTACATGCAGAAGCGCACGGGCGTACTCAACAAAAGAAAGAGTGCCAGGTTCGGTTGCTACACAGAGGAAAATGAGTTGCAATTTCGGCAGCTCGACGATGACATTCAATATATGAAGACGCAGCTGGACTGGGAATACGTTGAGCAATTATTTGGTGAGGCTGAACGACAGCAGGGTGCCGATGGTTACCACGGTGTGTGGCGCTTGAAACTATTCCATCGGCCGCAGGCGCAGGGGTCCCCGACAACGCAGTTACACCGTGCCGTCGGCATACCTCCCCAGCTTGGTCGAGTTGACCGAGACCATGTCCGCTTCCGCGAAAGAGGGGGGCTTCAGTGCTGTCGCGGTGGAGGACCTGGGGGAAGTGTCGCCATAGTCCTTGAGGAGCCTCGAGGAGGAGGGCCAGGAGTATTTCAGCGGTGCCCCCGCTTCACTTTTGTACGACGACTGGTATAGAACGCTAAACCAGTTGAGGAGAGCCGCTCGGAGGAGATACGCACCTGGCCATTCCCTGCCTGGCGAGCTGTGGTATTGGATATTGCAACAGGCGACCCGTGGGTTGACAGGCGCGTGGCCACACACGCACACGGCATCTAAGTGAGCAGGCACTTGCGCACGGTCAGAGTCGATTGCACGTTCCTTGCCCAGTTTTTATAGACCGCGCGAGACGCATATTCAGACATGACGAAGATTAGGACACCGTGCAAATTTCACTGGAGTCGTAGCTTCCAGCTCTCCAAGGGGAACCTCAAGAGGAGTGCCAAGGCCATGAGGCTGATCCGCTGTTATTGTCCGTTTGGGAAGGCCTGGCATCGGCGCCTATTCCCTAGGAGCCAGCGCCCTCCCCTCTCCCAGCTCGTCGCCAGGATTCACAGCTGGAGGCTCAACAAGCTTGGCGCCTAGCACCTGCTCCGGAAGAAAGACGCGCCCAATGCGTTCCCCCCCGCGTCGCACGAGGAGCTCGCGAGGGCGGTTGAGCCCATCGATCCCCGCCGCTGGGATCGCGCGGTCCTTCGTCGGAGGCACTTGGAGGCGGCGGCGGGGATCTGGGCGGGGGGCTAGGTGGGGCGCTGCCAGCCGGAGCACGGGTTGGGCATGGCAGATGGGAATGCGCGCGAGTTTTTCTTCGCTGCTTGCCTTGCCCAGTCGCGCGGTGGCGAAACGGGCTTTACGAGGGCCCCTCCCTGCGCCAGTCTACGTTGACGATGGGGTGGCCCGTTCGTCGGGGTGGTCAGGATCAGGGCGCGCTCGGTTTCAGGTCGCCCCTTGGACGCCTCGATTCGAGACTGCGCTGATGACGCCCATCAGACGTTGCCGCCGCTGGCGCCGAACCCAATGGAGGCCCGGGCGGGAGTCCGTAGTTCCAATGCAGTCCTCGATGAGGAGCTCCAGAAATGACGATTCTGCTGTGAACCGAGAGATGGAACATTTTATCCCCTTCATGGCGGGCCTTGGGGCCAACGCTGCTTCTCGTGCCCCGCTGTCTGGAGCTGTTGTCCCTCCCAGAGCGGCGGCGGCCGAAGGTGCGTACCTGGGGGGGGGGGGGGGGGGGGGGGGCAACACGCGGGGGGGCCTGGAGCGGAGATCAAGAGGGGGGCGGAGGCCGCGAGGGCGGCTTGGAGGAGATTGGGGAGACTATAGGACGACGCACGTTCGACTCGCCATCAGCGCCTCGCCTCCAAGGGGGCCGGGCCATCGTCGGCGCTGCCATGTCGGGGCTCGAAACCTACCTCCCCGGCAATGTCGGTCTTCGTCGATTGGATGCGGTCGCCATCGGTTTCGCGCGCGCGCTGCGTTTCGGGACCGACAGCCCGCGTTTGACCCTGGCGCGCCTGACAGGAGCAAGCCGCGTTGCCGCTCCTTTTCGGAAGATGAGGTGCCGAAGCGGCCCCGCGCGACTGATGCCAGGGCCGAACTGCTCGTCCGCGGGCTGAGACAAGGGCAGAAGCTCGCCAGAGACCCTGAGGATAGCGCGCGGGCGATCGCAGCATTGTTCGGCGCGCTCGAGGGGCCAGGCGAGCCCCCCACCTCCACGCGCACAGGTGCTGTCAACGGGGCGGCGAACCCGCGGGCGGTCCATTTCGGGAAGGATGCGCAGGCAGTCAGGTCTCTTAAAGGAGGGGTGAGTTTCTGGCGGCCCATTCGTTCCGCGACATCTCCCAGGTTCCCGAGGCCGGGTCCATGTTTTGCCGTTTCGACGTGGGCAAGCTGAGAGAAGC